CTAAAAGAAACTTCAAGCGGAGAACCTTCAACCATTCATCCAGATGCACCCCATGGTAGTGGCAGTGCCCCTTCTGGTAAGTGTACCAGGTGGGGGATTACAGCCAGGCTGCTTGGTCCTCACCCTGGGAGTGTATATTGCTAATATATTTTTATTTCTCTCCCTAGAACGTGTAAGAAAGCCATGGTCTGCATCTGAGGTGAAGGCTGTGGAGAAGACCATGACACCTTTCATACAGACTGGAAAGGTCCCTGGGAAGTCTCACTGCCTGGCCTGCATTAATGCCTCACCAGATGACCTTAGACATCGGACATGGAGTGGCATTAAATTCTATGTCAAAAATAGAATCACTGCAATTCGAAAACAAAATCTAAAATAAAATTCCTTTAAAATAGTTGTTTGGTTTCTATTGACTGTTTTGTATTACTTAAAGTCTTGGTAAAAAAAGATTATGTCTATGGGTCCCATTCTGAACGGCCCTGTCAAAGGGACCCACCAGGTAACAAAAACGTGTATGTGTGTGGTGTGTGTGTGTGTGTGTGTGTGTGTGTGTGTGTGTGTGTGTGTGTGCACTTGTTTTCAACTCCTGGTGGGTTCCATAACCTGAGATTCCACTCACGTCATGGGGACTGGTTTTACGTGGTGGGGCCCGAACACCGGACCCCACTGGTCCAAGCTTAATAATCAATGGGTAATGCTTTTCTAACGGTCCTTATGCAGTCTCTGTAAAAATATGGAAAGGACCCCTGGAGGTTTACTTTCCTGAAAAAAGTGTGTTATGTGTCGGAACCCTGGTGGTGGGTTGCGGGATATCAAGGAGGGGCACACTGGGGCAATTTCAGTCCAGCAGGCTGGAGCCAATCATGGAGCAGCACAACAGAGGAAATCAGGTGTCAGGCTAGAAAAAGGTGCAAGTGTGTGGTTCATTAGGCTGCAAGAAATCATGGAGGAGCACACTGAAGCGCACGCTTACAAACCACTGGTAAGTGCTGACTACAAGTCATGACTTCAAATTGTTATATAGAATGATTACAAATTATTTGTTGTTTGTGCAGCTTAGTCAAGAGTCCCTAATTGATGAAGTCGACTCAGATTCTGACGATTTAACTGTCAAGAAGAAACCTGTAAAAAAGTATGGAAAAAGAAAAATCAAAAACACTTTTCTTCAAGACTCGGAAAGTGACGAACCAAAGGCAAATAAGATTGTTATCATGCAGCTGCAAAAGAAGAAAAATGGGGGGCGAGTATACAGCAAGAGACACTTCTGCCTCTACTGTTCAATGTCCTGCCACAAAATGTCCCGTCATTTGACTAGAAAACATGGAAATGAAAGTGACGTAGCCAGAGCATTGGCTCTACCTGTGAAATCTAAAGCACGTAAACTTCAGTTTGATTTGATCAGGAATAGTGGAAACCGTGAGCACAATTTTGAGGTTTTAAAGGCCGGCATTGGAACTTTAGTCCCAGCTAAACAGCCAAATTCCCCAGTTAAATCCAGTGAGTTTTTGCACTGTATAGACTGTGGGGCATTGCTTAAGCGAAAGTCGCTGTGGAGGCATGTGGCCAGGTGCCGGCTTTCACAGAAAGATGCCCAGGCTAAACCAGGTAGAAGTAGGGTCCAGTCCCTCTGCTCCCTAGCCCAGCCTGTACCGGAGGGCATCAGCAAAAAGCTGTGGTCTTTAATTTCGGCAATGCATCAGGATGAGGTCACGGGTGTTGTCAAAGCAGAAAAGGGGATTCTGAGACTCGGAGAGCACCTGTACTTAAAACACGGGCATGATAAGACAAAGCATGATTACATTAGGCAGAAAATGAGAGAAGTCGGTAGGTTAATTAACGAAGCAAAAACCGCAGGGAAACTGAAAACAATTAAGGATTTCTTTATTCCTTCCAACTTTAACCATGTGATTGATGCAGTCAGGTCTGTGGCTGGATATGATGAGGAAACAAATCAATACAAGACTCCATCCTTGGCCCTCAAACTCGGCCATAGCCTCAGAAAGCTAGCAGATATTCTTGAATGTGACTCAAAAATGGAGCATTGTGTTGATGAACTATTTATTAAAAACCTCCAACGAAGCCGGCTGCTTTTTGAGAAGAGGTGGGACGTCTGTGTTTCTTCTGCTGCCCTACAGACCCTCCGGCAAGCCAAGTGGAACACTCCGGACCTGCTCCCTCTGACTGAGGACGTTAGAGCCATGCATGCACATATTGAGGTATGTCGACCTGAATATGTGCAAACCCTAATAAGTGAGCCAACGTCTAAGCATTGGTCTAAACTGGCAGTTTTGACTCTTTGTGAGGTCATCATTTTCAATCGAAGAAGGGAAGGTGAGGTTTCAAAGATGCCACTGACAGCCTTTACCTTAAGAAGTAAGACTGGGATCCATTCTGACATTGCTCTGGGACTGTCCCAACTTGAGAAAAAGCTGTGTCAGCATTTTCAACGCATTGAAATTAAAGGGAAAAGAAGTCGGAAAGTGCCGGTTCTTTTGACTCCTGAAATGATTGCTTCGATGGAGGTGCTGGTGGAGAACAGAAGGGCCTGTTCCATCTCTGACCATAACCCATACTTCTTTTCCCGCCCGGGCGCAGACACCCACATCAGGGGATCAGACTCCCTACGCCAGGTAGCCAAAGAATGTGGTGCGGTGCATCCAGAGATGCTATCCTCAACCAAACTTAGAAAGCACATAGCTACTATGTCTACAGTTCTCAATATGAAAGAGAATGAGATGGACATACTTGCCAACTTCCTCGGCCATGACATTCGCATCCACAGGCAATATTACAGACTACCAGAGGGGACACTGGAGCTGGCCAAAATCAGCAAAGTGTTGATGGCCATGGAGCAGGGAAGAGTGACGGAATTCGAAGGAAAGAGCCTCGACCAGATACAAATTGAGCCTGAAGGTAATTCTTGATATTATTAAAATATGTATGATTTTTTTCCCCTAAAGGCCACTTGTATTTTTATTTTCTGGTTTCGTTTCTGTGCCTCACGCTTGGGAAGGAGACAGATTGTTCTCTTACAAAAGACTTGACAGAATCAATGAATAAACTACTGTGGGCTTGTGTATGAAGGCCAAATAGCATTTTAATCATGTTTAAAGCTGAGAAAAGTCAAAAACCGTGATATAGGCCCTTTACTGTGACTGGTGACCGACCAAGAGCAGCCAGTTTTTAACAGAGACTCGTCTCTGATTGGCCGAGAGCGGACCAGGGCCCGCCTTCCCAGGGGTCAAGAACTGCATAGCATATTGAATTAAAGGCGCTATACCCGTTTCTGCAATGTTTGAATGTTTAGCACCGCCCCCCAACTCGCTCAATGGCTTCTCATTTCTCATAACACAGAGCCACCTAGTTTTATTTGCGATCTGATACATATGCTAACATTAGCATTAGCGCAACTTCTTGTAAGCTGTGCAACAATCACTGATGAAATGGCACTAAAGCAACGCACTGCTAACACAATATATAAGTAAAAGAATACCGCTAGTTTCGCGTCCGAATGTATTGATTTAAAACCTTAGAATATATTCTAATATTTAATTATAATTTGTTATAGAGCTACTCAAAGCAGCAGCAGCAATTCTTCCGATCATTTTTCTTGATAACAGAACTCTCAAACCAATAATGACCGAAGCCCCAATGCAACCTGTTTGTAATTCAGGTGTGTAAAATACTGCCATTACTCTGCAAGTACAAAACGCTATCAGCGCCTGTCACTACACACTTGTCTGTGTAGAGAAGCCAACGGAGCTAGCCACGCTCAATAAACAACTACATATCTATCAATCAACACCATTAAACGTCAATCGGACAATACAGTATACATATACATCCTTGACACACATGCACGGATGATTTCAGAATTTGCTGTTAACGTTTTCATGACAAAAATACTGTTTCAATGTGACAAAAAGCGATTGCGAAAAACCCGGAAGTTACCATGAAACAACTAGCTGGCTTAGCTGTTACCTGCCTAGCACGTCCCGGTGAAACCTTTGGGAGCTAACTATTATATTTGCAGTCATTAAATACATTTCGAATTACAAGGGTTGTCTAATATTTGTTCAAATTTTTTTATTCAATAATTTTTTTCATCATTTTTTATTTTAGAATTATATTCGAATTTTGAAGTCCAGCGCTGTAGAGGCTAGAGGACGCAGGCTGTTCGCTGCTCGTTCTGTGAGCGGAGGAGAAAGAGCGGCCCGCTCAGACTCTACTCAGCACTTTTCACTGCTTGTAATTCTTACACAGCTGAATCAATTACCTCAAGTTTTCAATTAAATGATGTATTATGATACAACTTGTATGTAGTAAAAAGCATTTTTATGAACTACTTAGAAAAAAAATCGGGTATAGCTTCTTTAAGTTGCACTCAAACCATGTGGCAATGCAATATGCAATATGCCATGCAATCCAGAGGGAGGTGCTGTTTCACAACACATTAAATGAAACTTAACATACTCAAATGTGGAATACAAGTCAAAATAGGATATAACATGCAATTTTGCCAAATACAACTCTAAACTAAATGCCATGTTAAGAATGAATAGAACAATGAATAAAGAGGCCAAATTACCATGTCAATATGCTATTCATTTCAAAATCTTGTAATTTGCAATATATAAAGACATTGTATCGACACTTTACATATTGAATTGCCATTAGAACTTTTGGAATAGAACATTAAATGTCAAAATTGGATATAACATTACACTTTGACAAATACAAATACAAAATAAATACTAAAATAACATAATGCATAGCCATTTGACAAATGAATAGACAATTGAATTAAGGTGCCAATAGTCTTCCATATCTATCCCTCATGGGCAGGACCTTCCAGTAGATACTCCCCTTTCCCCAGGAACACGCAGCGACATCTCTCCTGAAGCTGGACGTGGCTCAAACTTGTGGATGCCATTGTTACGCAGCGCTGGAAGAACAACAAACAAACTGGAGCCGTCCTGCAGACGCACCACACACGGACCATGGGGACTGTGAACGCGTGCGTCAAAAGAGGCTTCATCACCGTGGAGAGCATCATCGCGGTGAGATTTCGCTGGAATGAGTCCTACTTCGCATGTTGACAGTAGCCCCGCTGTTTTGAAAGTTTTTCTTACTGAGGTTTTTTTTTTTTTGCGCATTAGTCGTGCCTTGTAAAACTGTCTGAAGTTGTCTGTATTACACGCCATTTAAATGTGTTTTAAAATCCGCGTAAAAAAATAAAATAAACTTGTGATCTACGAGTGCCTGCCCTTGTGTTAAATTGAGTGTTTAAAGCTGGGGTACCTAACTTTCAAAGCAGGGTTATATTATATAGCTCGTACATAGTTTTGTGAAAATCTTAACTATTTTTCTCACTCTCAGAACAAAATTTCAAATGTGTGTGTGTGTGTTTTTTTTTTTTTTTTTCGCTCTCAACCCAAAGCGTCAAATAGTGACTCACGGGGCTCAATGTTCAAAGAATACAACATATAACATGATTCAATAAGTCTGATTTTTACACTTTTTTCATATGACATCAATGTGTTTCATGAAAAGTGAAATAAGGTACAGTACATCAAATCACTACAGACTTGATGTAACTTTTTTGGTTGAATGAGAAATACATTTGGTTTAACTCAACAGAGAGAGTGTAGTAAACAATTTATTACATTTTTTTAGAAAACATCTTCAGCATACCTGCATGGAGTTTAGTTCCATTGTTTGTGGTTTAAAAGTCAGGCATCCCAGCTTTAGCTCAAAACTACAAGTAAAAAAAATGAGAAAAAATATAAACAGATTTCCTTGCGGCAAAGCCATGAATTGAGTGGATTAGTCTCGGTTGGCATTTTGAGTCTGAAGGGATAGGTTTAGGCTCAGCTGGTGTTTTGGATGTAAATGCCAAATGTTAATCTTTGAGCGCTGCTTGGAAATAGGTTATGCAACATGTGTTTTTGTTAAGCGTTAGTTCTGGATTATTGGAAAAGCTTAAATCTTCATGGAGAAATGTTGACGTTTCACTCGCCTTGATAATTGTATTCTCAAACATCAGGAGTGCAGCTGAAATGCAATGTTGCTTCTACTCATCGAGCCCGCCCATTGATATGGCTGTGTCTTGGCCGGTGATGAGTATACATGCTATAATGTGCATATTATATGGATTTGACTTTTTTTAATGAGTCCAAAGTAATATGTACATTTCAATTCAAAAACTATTCTCAATTCTTGTTTGAATTGAAATATTATTGCTTCTGGAACACGCATCTTTCTGTATGGACCAGAAAAATTAGCTCTCTGTGGCATCAGATTGATGACAAATTATTTGAATCTGAAACAGGAAGCTGAAATATGTGAATAGACATGAAGTTACATTATACTTTTAATGTCAATCAGTCTTACTGTAAATGTGTTTGTTACAGATTCTCAGCGGCTTGCTTTTGGCCATTACTTTGTTCAGTCATGGAAACTTCCACGAGGATGAAGAGGTAATGGAATATTAGAGAAGACATACAGACATATACATGAATTCTTTATTTTATTTTATATTTTTTTACAGCACATGCATGTATAAACAGTGGGGGGCTGTCTATTGGATGCCCCATGGTTCAATCCCCACTGAGAGCAGCTCACCAAAAATATACAATAGCGGATTCTAGAGGGGCAAGCAGGCATGAATCTGTGACCCCGAAACTCCCCAGGGTCTCACCAGACTGTGCTTCAACATTTCTTTTTTCAGACTATTTGACAAGAATGAGACAAGTTGCTTTGCGGTGAATGCATCCTTACATTGTATTTGACTGGTCTAACTTGCATTCATTCAGTTAGCCTTGAAGAGTAACTTTATAGCTACAAAATATGTGGAATGCATTCTTATTGTTAGTTTAGCTGTGGAAGGCGGGGCAATGGTGCAACCAAACACATGCCTATCAAATTTAATTATTACATTATCACTACAACTAATCCAGAATTTACTCATTTGGGGCTGTAATTAAAGGAATAGGCCACCGTTTTTACATACTGACATATGTTCTTACCTTACCTTAGACTAGTTAATATGTACTTGTCTGGTCTTTGTCCGTGCGCTCTGTCATGCAAACAGAGCACAAACACAGCCTCTTCCACATACTGTATAGTTCCAAATCAGCTCCCGTTAGAAGCTACCAAACTCTTCCACGTGTTCCATATTTAAATACAGCTACATGACGTGTTACTCTACAAAGTATAGTGACACAGAAATGTAACATGTCGAATTTCTTAGCGGATAAAAAAGGGTACTATATTGTGAGGCGTAATAATACGAGGAGCACTATGTCCGAGCACTAACACACAAAGACTTCTTTCCCGCTCACTTCCGTCAAAAGAAGCAGCGTGACTTGTAGTACGTACAGGAGCAGGAGAGAAGTCTTTAGGAGTTAGTGCGCGGACATAGAGCTCCTCGTATTATTACGCCTCACAATATACAATAGTACCCCTTTTTATCCGCTGAGAAAATCGACATGTTATATTTCTGTTTACTTTGTAGTGTAACACGTCACGTAACTGTGAAAGTTTGGTAGCTTCTAACGGGAGCTGATTTGGTACTATACAGTATGTGGAAGAGGCTGCGTTTGTGCTCCGTTTGCATGACAGAGCACACGGACAAAGACCAGACAGGTACATATCAACTAGTCTAAGGTAAGAACATATGTCAGTATGTAAAAACGGTGGCCTATTCCTTTAACAATTGTTTTGACAATTGTTTACTTGGCAGGTTATTCTTTTGATTAATATTTTTGTGTTGTTTTTTTTTTGAGAGTCACTATTCCCCCTGGAGTACATTGACCTGACTTGCAACACATTGGGCTGTTTGATTAAGAATTCTTTGTAAACACATTTAAATTTAATTCTGCAACTATCTGAGCCATAACACTCAGCATATTAAAGTCTATTTATGGTTCACAAAACTATTACTAGATTAGTTGCCCTTATCATTCATAATTTCATCATATATCATTTCAAAAATATATTATTTGTGATTAATTGATTCACTTGTTACACCCCAAATGTTTAGGCACATCATCCAGGTATGAACATAGACTCAAACTAGAAGTGTTTATAAGACCAGGAATAGGCCTGTTCAAAATTGACTGATTTGATCAATTCTGCTTAAGTGTCTTGCCCAAAGTGCGGACATTGACCCATTCTAATCTCGTCTGGATCAGTACCAATGTCTGGGAACACTATGACCTATTGACAAATACTCTGTCCATTTGTTTTTACAGATTGAGAAAATCCTGCCAGGTCTTCAAGTTATGTACGCAACTTCTATCATAACCATTCTCCTCGTCACCACTGGGTTGTATGGTGTCTGCAAACGTAAAAAGTTTATGTTAATTTTTGTAAGTAAAAGGAGGGTTTTTTTATTTTTTTATGCATTGTTATGTGATTGGTTGTTTTAATGGGCCTTGCTTGTTTGTTTCAGTACATCGTGGGAATGACCCTGTCCTGCATGGCACTGAGTGTAGTAGACATTCAAGGAGTAGCTGTGAGAGGCGAGGTACACACGCCCACGAACAATCACAAACTCTCACTGTAATCTGTAAACAACTTCACCGTTATAGCCGTTTGGACATGTTCATGCAAGTACATGCACTTCATTCAATTGCAGACAACCGGATATGTCATATATACAGTATATTGGTGATGCTGAAATTAATACATATTTTGACTTATGGTCCTCAATGTAACCTGGAAAGATTTGTATTATTTTTATTCCTCAAAAATCACTTTATAAGAATGTATACTCTCTGTTTGAAATATAATGATTATGGTTATTTTATGGTTTGTAAATAGATCTACTAACCAAACAGTAGTAAACCAAATAATTATCTATTCAATACTTGGTCTTCCCTATAAACATAATTTTGACAGAGAAAAAATTATTGTTGAGCTGTTTGCCTAACCTCCAGCTGAAGTTAAGCAGGGCAGGGTCTGGAGAATACTTGGATGGTAGACTGCTTTAACCCCAGGTGCCACAGTAGAGTGACTGAGGCTGTAGATAGTTTAGGTTAGTGTCAGCCTTGCTCCTGCCAGTCTGCCCCAGGACAGCTGTGGCTACCATAATAGCATACCCCTGCACTCCTCTACTCTGTGTAGTGATTTAATAAAAGTGTCTGAGTGTTAATAAACAGCTTTAAAAGTGTGTTTAATCATGTAAAAGTTAATATAGCTTGTTGGCGTCCTTCCTTTTGTTGCAGTTAATCGAGGACATTAAGCATCATTACTCGAGTGTTATACCGTTCTCTAACGCCAGTAAAGAGGACATAGAGGGAGTCAATGAGTTACAGACAGAAGTATGTTCCTTTTCACTTCTAACACTATTGTGTACTATACAAACTGTGTGTAACATTGTCTTCTTTTCAGCTGCAGTGCTGTGGCTTGTTCCAGGGTTATCAGGACTGGGGATATAACATCTCTGAGAGCTGCCTCTGTGTAGAAGATGCAGTCCACCCATGTGTGAGTCCAATAGGTTATACACACATATTCACTGTAATCATCTATGTTTACCAATATCCTTATGTTACACAATGCACTGTTCAAATATATACATATATATATTCAAATATTAAATAATAATATATTATTATTTAATATTTGAATTATATATGAGCACAAGCGCAATGAATGACAGTCTTTGGTGTCACTTGATTGGGTAAAGTGGACGGCCTCGTGGATTTTGAGTTATAGCTAAGATTAGGGACTTACCCATAATATTATAATATTAATTCATAAAATGAATTATTTTTTAATCAATGTTCATGGCCAAGTGGTCAATTTAATGGCATTCTTAAACTTGCTTAAAGTTCCAGACTATCACTTTAAGCAATAACATATTGTTTGTTTTATTCAACCATGTCCAACAGACCAGTGAAACTTGACGAAAGTGTAGCAATATCATATTTAGAAAAATAAAAATTTTCAGGCCCTTATCTTCTACCACTCAAAGGGGGTACACCCGAGTGTCAGGTCATTGGTTATTTTTTCAGACGTGGAGTATTATTCCCTAGTACTTAAAGCAATCACCTGGTGGAGTTTGGCTTGGGTGTGGGCCTTTGTCCCCAAGCCCCGGTGATCCAAGATGGCGTCCAATTCAAATGAATGTCTTGTGCTCATTAGCGCATGGGACATATAGAAGGGCCGAGAGATTAGCGGAACTCGCCTATATTTGGCATCGTCTGGTCCTTCCGGTTCTGCCATGGATCTATAATAATAACTGGATAGGGTATCACTATCTTAAAGTTGTCCAACCCATGGGCACAGGGGGCGCCCGTGGTACTGCAGACTAAATTCACGTGGGCTTCCCAGAAAAAAGTCCCATAGAACTCAATGTAAACTAAAACAGCTCGACCTCAGCTGACAGAGAACCTACAGCTTTCAGAAAGGTCAAAAAGAAAAAGAAAGATAAAAAGAAAACCGAAGGATACAGTATACGAAGAAAAAAGTTTGGGATGACAAGGGACAATAAAATCCCCACAAAATCCAACCTTTATGAAAGCTGTAGGTTCTCTGTCAGCTGAGGTCGAGCTGTTTTAGTTTACATTGAGTTCTATGGGGAAAATTTCTGGGTACCCTGCGTGAATTTAGTCTAGTTTAGTCTGCAGTATAGCGAGAATCCCCCAATAACATGGGTCAGCTCCAAGCTAGTAATACCCTATCCAGATATTATTATAGATCCAGGCTTTGTACTCATGCTAACATCAACGCTAGCTGCTCTGAGTTTAGCATCGATACGTGATCTACTGCGCTGATGTGCAAACACAACTAGGCTTTTATCTACGACTTCCCAACCACAGGACTAACCAATGCGTTCAGCTGATTCATTCATGTTCACTGTGGTTTGTTGATGTCTGAAGCATAGTTGGTTTGTGTTTTAGCCTCTTTGAATAGAAAGCTAAAACAAATGGTTAACTGCTATGATCTTTCAATAGACCATTGCTAGTTTTCTTGGAACGACTGAGATATTTATTGGAGTCATTTGTCCATTTTAGACTTTAAAATGCTGATAAAAATGTTGAATTTTCAAATGACTCTTAGCTTTTTGTTTGTGATACAGGTGGCAGCTCCAAGAAACAGCAGTTTGTTTGAAACCACAAAAACAGATGGCCCTATCATGATTTATAAAGAGGTGAGTTTATGTGCACTCCTCTCAATATCTGTATTATTATGATGATGATGATGATGATGAAGATCATTATTATTAGTATTCACATTTCATCCTTGTGTTTCAGCCTTGTATCAGCTACCTGGCAGAACACGCCCTGTTTGCTCTAGATGTGCTGTTGGGAATAATACTGGGTACAATATTATTGTGGGTAAGAACATTTCTACTTTATTTTAAACTAAATATGTGTGCAGTTACCAGCTAATATTTACTTTAATTGTTTTTTTGTTTTGTTTTCTGTGAGTGTTGCTGTCATATTGCCATTTAGACGCTGAATTAAAAATTTGGAAGGTCTACTAAAATTATCCAGGTTACTAGAATTTGACCAGATCCTTTAGTTTTTGTGTTTGCTAATGCTAGATTTTCCACACTGTCACAAAAGGTTATTGTTTCTTCTCTTCTGCTGGTCCCCTGAAAATGAGTTTCCATCGATACATGTATATTTAATTGAAAAACAAATTAAGATGTGTAGAGATATTACATAGTTAAATGACTAATGTATTACTCTTATTTTCAACTATGAATATTTGCTAGACATGAAACACCACAGTGCAGTTAGTTACAGAGTTTTCCTAAATATCAGATATTATTATAATATTACGGTATACCAATTAGAGAAAGTACAGATAAAGGAACAGGACAAAATTTGACATGTCTTGATAAATGTTTACTTGAAAAACATGTACAAAACCTTGTGGCCTAACAGTAATATACTGTAGCTCTGGTAGTCCGAGCATCAACATCTGGAGATTGGTTTTTGTGCGCAGTACTACAGTGACCTCCTCTCCCCAGTGGCTTTGTAGGATGGCTCAAATACAGAGGACAAATTTCTCTACAGAGACAATAAAGTATAACTTAACATATTAATCCTTTGAATTAAAAATGATGGGGCATTATTTAAAAATATCCCAGATTCAGTTTGAAGCATTTATAAATTACAGTGGTATCAAAATTACTATTTAATCTAATCTCAAAGTTTGAAAAACAGTATCTTGACAACACTGTAGTTATGGTTGTCATTAGTCTGCCCCCTTGTGTTAAATCTTAAACATGACTTCTCCTCATTTGTCTTAATTGTGTACAGACAGTGTTACCTTTTGTCACCTGTGTAGAAGGGTCTGATCCGCATCTCGTGTCCCCTCAGGTCTCGTCGGTGGTGTTATGTGTGGTCATTCTGTGTCAGATGAACCGAAAGCAGGACACCCCCGTGGTGGTCTACAGCCCTGAAGCCAAAGCAGGAAACTACGCAGTTCTGTTAGATGAAGCGGCGCTCACATGAACGGCCTTTTCCCTTCTCTTCAACTGCGGGACACTTTTTAGTACATGTTTTTAATACTATGGTGCAGCCTTTACCAAAGAGACCCCTAAAACCTGTAATAACTTGTGGCATTATCCCTTGGCTGCCTCGTGAATGTAGTGAGTTTTTAAAAAGCACTGAAATGCAGCTTTACTGAATGTTAACATTTACAGTCTGATCAAAACTGCAATTACAAGTGTTGCTTTTATTGCTGCTTGATGTTTTTTTTTTACCTTTTTGTTCTGTGTCGAGTTGCTCTGCATTGCATTTGTATTTGGAAAAACATATAGTTGTACCATGAAGGATCACTTCTCGGTTTGTTCGTCAATGTTGTGGTTTTTTAACAACGGTACGTCACTTTCTGGAGGTCCTTTTAGAGTCAAGTGTTTGATTGCACACAATAATTCCTACTTTATCAACAGTGAACTTCATCCTAACCAAAACAGAAGGGAGAATATTAAATCAAAAGTAAATTATGTGTGTCGGAGCATATTTCAGAAATGGTGATGTTAGCCTTGCATGTTTGATGACGATGATGATGATGCTTAGTACTTACTGTGCATTTAGGAATTCCCCCTCACTTTATCTACATTTTGCTACAGTCTTATACCAATATGTATCAAAGTGACAGTATTTCTTATCATCCCATATAACAAAGGTTGGGAACCTTTGTAGCTGAGAGAGCTAAAAAAGTCTCCTTCAAAATGTACTTCTGTGGGAGCCATACACATTTGTCTTTGCCATTTGACAAAACAGTAGCACACACAATAGCATATGTACGTACAGTAAGTATTCACACCCTTTGTTAAAACACTTAATACAGACCTCCTAGTTTCTACTACTTGACAGGAAACCCACTGTGGTACATTTTACAGAAAACAAAACAATACATATGATACATATTAGCACAAGACTGTATCATTGCAATTAGAAACAGTTATGTGGTTGAATATTTTCTGAAAGAACAATAGAACCTTTCATGACACTCAGACGCTTCACATGGTGTTATTCATTCACTCCATACACTGTGGTGGTAAACTACTGCAGTAGCCACAGCTGCTTTGGGGCAGACTGTCCCTTTTTGTAGGGTATAGTTTATTTAATACTAGCTGCAGCTTAAGTCCCTGATCTCAATGACGCCTGAATGAAACCGTCTCTATTTGATCCACCTTAGTCATCGTTTGAAACGTTCTCTGCAAAGATTCACTCACGGATTACTGTAGGCATTGCACCGCTGAGTTTGTTTGTTTAAAAATAAAACATTTCTGGAAGGAGAAAAAAAGTGGTTTGACAAATACCATCATACCACACTCCAGTATGTGTGCCCATATCTTGTTTGAGTCTGTCGCAGGGTGTCGAACCGGCTGCAGGTTTTAGTTCCAACCTAAGCAGGAGCTCACCTGACTCCACCCACTCTCTCAGGTCAATCTAGTTTTAACCTGAAGATTTGAGGAAATGGGTGGAGTCTGGTGCTCCTGCTCAGGTTGGAACTAAAATCTACAGTCACTTCTGGCTGTAGATTTTCTGGAACCGATCTGACACCCCTGGTATAACGTGATATTAATGATTTAATACTGTTTTACAAAATGTATGTTACCAGAATGTTGCATTTTTTTTTTCCTAAAATAAAATGCCAAAATGTTAAAGGAAAACAAAGGTACATATTTTTATTTGTATATTTACATCATATTACACCAGTTCAGTCTTTAAACAACAGTGTGTGTGACTGAAATAAAATACTTTGTAATATACATAATTTTAGGCCGTAATGGTTAAAGTGCACAAGTAGACATTGGATCAGCTGTTTCACATTGACAAAATCTGAAAGTGATGTCATAAGTCAAGGAGGCGTTTGGCCTGCAGACAGCTCATGCAGCAACGTAAGCATATTGAGAAGGCTACAGTGGTGAGAGCGCTGTCAAACTCCCCAACATATGCCAAGTGACTGTCTGCTGTGGCCTGAACAGAATAACGCAACATTTTCAGATATATAGTACAAACCCTTTCTGTTTTCAAATAAATGATGTCTACTCAATGTGCAACCAAACAGAAAACCCTGGAGCTGCAATAAATGTGCTTTTAAATATACAATATGCATATTAACAATGCATTTCAACATTCAGCTGTAACTCATTCCTGTGTCAGAGCCCAGTGGCGTATTGCTTTACAATGAATACATTTCTCACACTGTAAACACTGCTGTAGGACGTTGTATAAAAACACTAATGTTCATTTTCTAGTGGTGATGGTTCAGCGCATAATTGTCTATTACATTAAAGCTGGGGTAGCTAACTTTCAAACCATATGTAATCAAACTACATCATAAAGTCTATGTAACTGTCCTTGGTTCTAAAACAGTTTGGGTCTATCACTGGTTTCACATGCATATATAGTTTGAGGGCTCTATCACATCTTTTGGCTTTTTCAGACAGAAAAAGGGAAAAAGAGAGGACCACCCCCAATTAGCTCTCACTGAACTCTTTCTTACAACTATGTAAAAGACCGCATGTTTTAGAATGTGATGAAGACAGTGTGTTTTGGTCTGATTTGTTCAAAACATTTCACTTTTACAAACTCCTTCTGTTGGATCAAACTGTGCATTATTTTATGGAGAAGTTAAGCACCCGAGCTTTAAGTACTGTTTAGAAAGTTTTTACTTAGACTGATGACTATCAAATGCAGCCGGGAGTTTACATAATGTTCTATCTAATGCATTGAGCCTCACCAAGAGAAACTGTAAATGTTATGGAGTTAAAATATACAATATGCAGGATATATATGTAACTTGATTGGTTCAATAAAGTTAGGGGCATATATGACTTATAATACAAAGTTGTCAGCCAATGAGAGGCCCCTAAAGGCTACAGCTATTGATTTATGAGCTTATACCTTGTATGTCGCTGAGATGGTCAATCAAAGTATTTCTAACACACGTCTAATACACTCAACAGCACGTTGTCGTACCATTATACAGGGATACTTGGAGTTAAAATATCTATAAATATTTTAGTAAAGTGCCACAACAATATTGATACAGTTAATAAGACCTTCAGAGAGTGTCAGAGACTTTGGTTTTTCCTATTGGATGAAGCTGCGTCCGTCTACAGCAGAAAGGAAGGTGAAATTGTCATAATGCATGAACATTACAATCAGTCAGATGCATGCAATAGTAGTTATAAAAAAGATCTGTATGTAACTTATGAAGCAGAGGAAGCTCGGTTTAGCATACAGCATAACATGTTAAATGTGCAAATTCAAACCAGGTCAGCATGTGAATAGATTACAAAGCTTTAAAAAGAGTTCTTCAGAAGGCCCCAGGCACATATCTGTTGGACTGGAGCAAAGCGATGAAGTCTTCTTTCCTTTTCAACTGCACCATCAGCTGGATGCTCATCACCATCAACACCGCCTGCCAATGTTAGCACAGGTTTAAGAATTAACAATAAATACATCAGTCTGGCGTAGAAAAAAGAGAGACTCACCCAGAAGACGCCACTGCCAAAGCGAATTCCTGTAGATAACGTGAATCCTCGCTTCAGCGCAGACACGTAGATTGGTAAACACGGCTATGGACAAAGCAGCAAACCATAGGAAGACATCAAGATGTAATGAAAGAAGAGACGGGTGTATATATTATATATAATATATATATATATATATATATATATATATATATATATGTATATATATATATGTGATATATGTGAATATAGTTATATATAGGTTCTAAATCCTCTTGTTTATGCAACACAGTACAAAACACACTGTGACGGAGCGGGTCTGTCTTTAACTATGTGTGCCTATTTCATAATTAACTCCGGGCCGGCTTTCCTATGCCACGCGGAAGGATTTTAGTTAAATGTTGTGTTTGTTTCAAAGTTAGGTACCCCAACTTTAACCCATAATGATAAATAAATTACCTCTTGATACACATAGACGTTCTTAGGAGCACCAAGAGTGGCACTGCCTCGTAGTCGAATCTGTTCAACAACAATAATAAAGTATTCCATAAGAGTACGCAATGAAAAGGAAAAAAAATACATTAAGAACAATTGATTTCAAAAGTACTTACACATTTTCCTGGATACTGACAGTTACAGGATACTGGGATGGTGGAGCCCCAGTCTTTGTACCCATCCACAAGACCACAGCATTTGAACTGCAATAATCAGCAGTTGTCAGCCGTAAATTGCATCATTTTAGCTGCTTTGGATCATTCGATCTTTGGTATCAGTGTTTATATATTGGTCTCACATGTGCTTGGATGCTGTAGAGCAGGGTCCGGTTGCTTTTGTTGGTTCCACTCAGAGGCATCATGGACAGCAGTTTGGTCTCCTCACGAACCACCACTCTCTGAAAAACATGTGTTTACTCTGCAATGGAATTCTGACTGTTCTGATTGCAAAGTTATCATTCTTCAATACAATAAGGACAGTGTTGCATTAGCTTTACCTCATAGACCTCTTGATAACTCAATGCTGTTTTGACAATAATGGTTTGACTTGCAGCTGCCATCCCGGCTGCAAACTGCAGAGATATATGAATAACATATTATAAAACAATAAGGTGAATGCTGTGAGGGTGGAAACAGGTGGATGAAGAGACATTCTGATGTTGGCCAGAAGATCTTCAAAGACTGGGCACAAAATACTATAGACACAGCTGTGACATACTCACACGTGTTAAACTGTCCAAAGAAACTGTCCAAAGCACTTTTATGTTTAAGTCAACAATTGTTGTCACATGTAAATGAGTGTAAAAGAATCCAACATATTAAGAATACAGCTCTGATTGGACCTTTTAATGGAATACATTTCAAAATGCATTTAAAAACAGTATTCTGTAACTAAATCCATTTTTGATATAATTCCTTTTCAATAATATTAAGTGAAGTTAAGTATGATAAGTATAATAGATAGTATTTGAAATGACATTACTTGTTTCCTGCATACATGTGTTTGTACATGTATATTGAATAATAAAAGTATGTATATTGTTATAATAAAGTCTTATGTTAAGTTAGTGAAGAAAGGAATTTGCTCATTAATGTGCGTACATGCATTGTGCGACTCGGTCTTGATATTGGTAACAATAAGTGTTAACCCTTTTAGTCTGTAAAATAGAATATTTTTGGTTATGACATAAATCTTGTTGTTGACTAATGACCAAAGAAATAATAAAACAGGAGTGGGTGGCATACGGCTCCTGTGAGAATAACCCTAACCCAAGGAAACGGATAAGGACACATTCTGTAATAGTTTGATTAAGCCAGAACAACCAATAGACATGTGAGGTGCCCTTGTAAGGAATTCATTCTTCATTTTACAACCAAAAAGAAGGCACACTCACCATCGTACTATAAAAGTAAACCAAAAGAGTCGTTCATACCAGTATCAAGCACCATCTCTTGCCCCAGCAGGCTCCCAGGACCCCCAGTAGAGACAGCAGCAAACAGCCCACCTCCAGGATGTACATGATCACCACAGAAGCACTGGACACAAGCTGCAGAGAAGGGCAACTTTTCAGGGCACTTACTAGTAAATAGTAACATATTTTCATCAGACAATGCCTATTAATGTCCGATTAGATTGTATTGTAATGGATTAAGTCGATAAAAACTGAAATACAATATATGGTATTTGTCCCAACAGAAAGAGGCTTGTAAAAGTGAAATATTGTGAACAAAACAGGCCACACAAGAGCCCTGTGGGTCACTCGCTGATTGGCTCTGGGGGAGAAAACTACTATATACATTTGTTTTTATTGATTTAGTTGGTGATTTTGAAAAATAGGTACCCCAGATTTAATTGTGGTCCGTAAGGCTGCAATAATTTCAGGGATATATACAATGTGAAAAATGTAGTGTGTGGAAAAATATATATATTTTGCCGTACAAAAGGCCCAATATCATAAAAATCCAAGGGACACTTTTGGACGAATGCTGAGAGCAGAAACCACGTTAGTCTCTGTCTGGATGCAAAGCTAATGGACAAGATTGTACAAAAGGTTAACATGTAATAAGATGCATATTTTTATCTCTGACCTTTAAATGTTAAACAGATGCTGATGTATTCATGTCCTACTTTTAGTCCGTGTATGGATACTGACAACAAGCATGAGATGACGCTGCAAAGATCATACACAAAATATGTGTCCAGTAATATGTCTATTTTTAGTATGTCGAGAAATCATTTTTTATTTTGTTATTTATAAATTGTTGAATATCATGACCAATACAATAATATATCCCATGCGATTTTCTCATTGCAGCATGATAACATAGCAGCAAGATAGATAGACTGGCATATAAATAGGTAGAAAGATTGACAGACAGGCGGACACAGACAGATATGATTATTGGGTTGTTTCATAGTCCACTTGTCTCTTGACCATTTAAATTGTGTAACAGCATCTACTCACTGTGCATAGTGATAGACAACATGAAGACTATCCTTACCTGACCGGCTTGTATTACATCTTTGTGCCAAGCCACTGTTGTTGTCAGCATAAAGAAGCACAATGCCTGCGAGAGAAAATCAACAGATAACTTAAATCAGGTATAGTAAGACCACACACATTTTGCAATATTATCCCTGTATGTAATGGAGCCAACCATTGCTAAAACATTTCTTATTAAGTCATCACAGAGAACAAAAAAAAAACACAGAAATGCAGTTAGTGGTAATAGGTTTTAAAGAAGCAGTAGTGGTGGAATGACTCACTGCGAGGCTTTCACAATAGAGCTGCACTGTGGCTGTGGACACATAGTCCAGTGGGAATATAAATATTGCATTGCTTGTTTGTGTGGTCGTTTCAGGAAGAAATTGCCGTATTATTGAGTACGCAGTCTGTCCAGGCATTTATCAGCTTTTGAGCTTTTTCCAGACAATTGGTGTATTTTTTCATTCCTGCTTTGTTCATCTACATCTTGCTTGCTTGGCATCTACATGTTGCCAATGCGAAATAGCAGATTGTTATTGTCGGGTATGTGTGCCTATATGCGGCCATATCTGGAGTTTTTTATGTATTTGAAACGTACGTCTGTGGCCATCAAACATCCCTGCACGCGTGTACCATTTCTCAGAAAAGTCAAAAGAAGCTAGCCTACCATATTGACAGCATTTGCGAAGATAAACGGCCTTTTGAGGCTGGTTTTGTCCGCAACCACGACCACGGCGCTGTGCTGCATGCTGCCGCGTCTGTCTTCTCTGCAAAGCGCCGTTATGCTCGTAGAAATAAAGCAGTGATAATAATAATAAAGAGAAGGGCGTGTGGTGGTGGCTGGGAGGACATCTATCTCATCCAAATCCGCACAGAGACAGAGCGAGCGCAGGACGTCACGGAGAGGATGCGAGCATCAGCCTCCGAGGCGTTCAAGGACAGCCGGGAGGGTGGGACATTACGAGCATTCATTCAGTAATTGTTGTGGTTTCTATATATAAATATATTTTGTCCAAATTCAATTCAAATATATTTACAACAATAGTCACGATGGACCAACAACAGATTAGCGAAATAAACATGGTCAATAAAGTAGCGTAACCAATATTCAAACATTTATCTAAATGTTCATATTTCTATCATTTGTCAGTTCAATTTTAAATGTTGTGTTTATTTTGACGTTACATTTTCTCTGTCTCAACAGAAAGAGTCGTAAAATTGAAACGTTGTTTTGTTTGGGACATTATTTATTAAAACCAAAAGTACTTTTGTTCGACTGCTCTGTTCTTTGTAAAGTAACTCAACTGCCTATTACTGTAATGTAGTTGTTTTTCTTCTTATAAGTTCAATTAGCTCACACGCCTGATAAATGATGATTTGTCCTTTCTTGTTTGGAAACGCACTTTGATCTGCACAAATCAATCTTCCATTTAGATCACTCATCTTGTCACAGTTTTTAAATTTATATTTAAAATACACCATAGCTGTTAGTTTTGACAGTTGCAATCAATTGGTTTTGTATGAATGAAGCTGGTGTGTCATGGTCTACTGAGACATGAAAAAGACTACACTTCCCAGCATTCCCCTGGTTTAGGGAGGGGTTGTGCTCCTCGAAGCAGGTGTCAGGTAAAGGGAAGTGAGAGTGAAGAGCGTCTGGCGTGGGGGGAACTCACCGCTCTTTATTGACACCAACAAGAGGAAGGATTGCTTTATAAAGAATCTAAAGGAGACCTGCTCAGAGCCATTTCAACAGGAGGAAGAAAAATCACATCTTTTCAGCAACGGCAAGGGACATTCTAAACATAGACATGCTGCTTTATGACCAGACCTGCTTGAAATCATAGTCTTTATTTTGTTATTGTAAGATTAAGAACATTTTGGAATATAACAATCTTAAGTTTTCTAAGCATATTTGCCAGTTTTGTGACTTTTGGCCATGAAAAGAAGGAACTGGGAATAGCCTCAAGTGATTTGGGATTTCTAACCATATGGCATCACGTTACTGCTGTCTGAAGAAGGAGCAGGCCTAATTCCATCCAAAAACAACAACATCTCTGCTACTTCCAGGATGCAGCAGACGCCTGGGCCAGAGCTGGATGACTCTTTTGATTTTCTGTTCAAAATAATTCTCATTGGGGACTCAAACGTGGGCAAAACGTGTGTGGTGCAAAACTTCAAATCTGGGGTGTTTTCAGAAAGGCAGCAAAACACCATAGGGGTGGACTTTACAGTAAGAACACTGGATATCGAAGGGAAAAGAGTCAAGGTAAGTTGATATTATTGTGTGTGATGACATTTGCAACTGAGGTAAAAGTGGCTATTGTTGCCAGCAGAGAAACCCAAGATTATTGTTGTATTTTTAGTACATGGCCAGTCGTTACTGAGAAAAAAAAACACAGTAAAATTACACAAATTAGGATATTTTGTATTTGTATAGACTTAAAATATATTACAACAACAAGCTTAATTGTAGGCATTTTTTCCACATTGCAAAAGAAGAACTTATCTCTCTCCTGATGTCTACACAAATGTTATATTATGGTTTATGTATGACAGTGCAAAAGTGCTGTGTCTATGTCTTAAATAAGGAATAAATGCACAGACCATTAAAGCTGGGGTACCTAACTTCCAGACGGCAAGATATTTAACTCTGTATTGCAATCCACCTATCGGTTCCTCACTCTCAAATCAGTTTAGTCCTTTTGCTAATTTTCTCAAGAGTGTATTTTTGTCGGGCAATAATACCCCAGCTTTTTTTTTTGACAGAAAAGTGAAAAGCAGAGGACCAAGCAGCTCTCAGCCCAAAGAGCCAAATTTAATCAGATGAAGACCGCATGTTGTGATCTGATTTGTCCTTTATAAGTCTCTCTGTTGAGGACAAATAACATGTATGTATAATGAAACACAGACGTCAGAGACTCCAGCTTTTAAGCTAAATATTATATTTATAAAAGAAATGCATAAAATAAGGTATATCATATTTTCCCATTCTTTCCTATTTACCTATTTATAGATCATAGTCAAATGTAGTTCTGTTATATGTATATGTTTATACGAGCACACTAGTTCCTTTTATGCAGTGATTCAGGAGGAAGTTACATGGAGGATGGAGGTTGTGACATTTTTGCAGGAAGTATTTTTTCAGTACATATGATACCTGTGTTATAGAAGGACTTCTCCTGGTTTGACACTATAGTGATGTGCCCTTTGGTTAGTGTGTCAGTTGGACTCAAACTCGTCCAGCGGGTTTCTCTGGTGAAGGGCCAGAGTTACAGGTTACTCGGGTTTCCATGGCTTTTGTCAAGTCTCAAATACACACGATAATGGTTTTTCCTGTACTGCAGACCTGAAACATTACCCGAGAAATAGTTTTTCAAAGATGATAGATCACTTTTGAGATACTGATGTGATTCTGAAAACGTAACGTTAGAACATTTAGAGCATGATTGGCTCGGCAGTCTATAAAAAGATTCCTCTAAAACACTGACAAGCCCTTATACGATTACTGAAACTAAGGCAAGCGTCAAAAGTGCAAATGCAACTACATCTGATTACATCACAACTCTATTGTCTTGTGTGCAGAAAAAAAACTAGTTACACAGCTCCAGGACACAGGCGCACTCCTATTATCTCCTTCAACGCAAGTGAACTGAATAAGACACACAAGACTGCACAGCGTTGTCCAGATTAAAGTTGATTAAAACCTACATGTAAAGCTGGGCGACCTCATTTTCAAACCACCCAAAATGGAGCTTTGTTATAAAATCCATCTTACTATAGTGCTTCTACCACTAGTTTTCAAATGCACTTATCTTTGCCTTCTGTCACATCTTTAGATTAGTCTTTTCAAACAAAAAAGTGAAAATATGACTCACAGGGCTCTTCACGACGTTCTACTTTCTGTCGTAACAAATACAATGATTCATGAAAAAAGTTTGGTACCCCAGTCCCCAGCCCTAAGTGACATAGAATATTGTTTTGATGATAGTTTGGGTTAAGGCCCATTGAGTTGTGATTATGCATAAAATGTGCTGTATAAATGAATGTCCTGCCTTCCTTTCTCATATGGCACTGACATAAGGCCACATTTGTTTTGGAGATGTCGGGAATGCGGTGGAGGAGCTATAAGCCGAGCAGCTGATGTGTTCCTATGACAGCTGTTCCCATGATAACGTGTGTTACTCTGTGACTGAGCAGGGATACAGACTTTCAAACCTTATCGGGGGTATTTTATGTTCATCAAGGGTTCGTTTGTGTCTGTGCACAGTATCAGGACCCCTTAACATGGGAACAAAGATAGATTTATTGTTAGTTATTGTTCATATATTGTGCTGTGTGCTACTCATTCCTACTCTTCTGTGACTGGTGATGCAACACTGAAATTTCCCCACTGTGGGACAAATAAAGGATCTGCAAAATAACAGATTTATCATGCGCATACAGATACATTAGTTCATATTTATCAACAGTTATGGACTTTGGTCCTTCCTCTCCCTAAAGAACAATGGCTTCTTTGTGTTAGTTATTATTGCATTTCCTTTGTTCAAACGGTTTGATTTTCTGATCTGTTGTTGGGAATTGACATCTATGGGATGAAGTGCTCCGAGACTACTGTTATCCTTCAGGGCTATACAAAAAAGAATTGGACTTTTTTAGTTTGCACAGTTCAGCTGATAATCAAGAGGAAGATACATATTAATAACGTTTCCTTGATTATTTGTATCAGATTTGTCTCGTATTTCAAATAGTAGATTATTATGGATTAATTGATGTCTATAGCCCTCTTTTCATTTTCAGTGAATTTTGTCTCATAACATACCCTGTCTTTTGAGATGACGACCTTGGCAGCATGTGTATTATGTAGCTGTTTTCTTTTCCTTTTTATTTTTTTTTATTTTTTTCAAAAGATTACTATCATTTATAGATCAAGGCTACATGTGTCATCACTGACAGAGCAGCCGTCCTCCTGTGGACTCACCACCTGCAGGAGGATCAGTGAGGGGCTGGGGCTCTGTGAATTGGGTGCGGCTCTGACTGTTGCCCCCCCCCCCAACCCAGAAATGGATAAAGGGCAAGAAATTGAATGGATGGATCATTTCATAGACTACATCCTCAAGTGCTCAGCTGTGGCAGTAAATTGATCCTTTTCCCTTGCACTTAAATTGGCACCATCACAGAGAAAATGGTTAGTCTCAATTAGTCACAATCAAGTAAAGATTGCAGCAATTTCAGTGGCCGCACTTAAAAAATTGCCAAGACAGCCGTTACTTAAGTATTTTGCGATGAAAAACGGCACAAAAAGTCAAACATACGCTCAAAGACACAACTTTTAAAGGAAACAAAGATTTGCATTTGGAACTCTCGTTTGTCCCTTTAGCTTTTTTGTATCATTCCATTGGAGGAATTGCTTCTTTTTCATACTTTTCTCTTTAAGAAATCGTGTTATCTGTAATCATGTTCCAACTTCCATTGAATGTAAAGCCAATTGTAAAAATTAAAACAAACATTTTTACAATTTTTAAGAATATGAAAAAGCTTGTTTGAACTATAATTAATCCACAAAACACAACTGTATGGGAAGCTTTTTTTCTGATTTACTTCTCACATTTTTTTTTCATACATGTCCGTGTTTTATTAGAAAATCGAATCATAATCAGAAAAAATGTTCAAATGTTGAAGCCTTAGTATTAAATCTTAGCATATAACATGAATCTACTCTTTGAATAAGGTTTATGTATTTGATTTTTTACTACCACCACTACCATTACATAGTGTGCATAAATATTTTCACAAAGCACATTATAAAGTGAATTATTATTACAACTATTGAACTATGATAATTTTCAATATATTACTTTTCTATAAGTTTTCTTTAATGGTTGTGAGATTTCATAACACTTTGAATGGTTTTTATTTTAATTTTTATTCATTTTTGGCTTTATATAACCTCCCTATATGCCATACCTCCTTTCCCACCCTCTCAGATCCTGGGAGCAGGCAGTCCAGGCGTGTACTGTATGATGCAATTGGGCACTGACATGATGTTGCATTAAACGTGCTTTCCTAATCCTCTTATTGCTTCAGATGCAGGTCTGGGACACAGCCGGTCAGGAGCGCTTCAGGACCATCACTCAGAGTTACTACCGCAGTGCCCACGCAGCTCTTATTGTCTATGACATCACACGCAGATGTACTTTTGACTCTGTTCAACACTGGATCAAAGAGGTGGAGCTGTATGGAGCAACCAATGTAGTCATGGCTCTGATAGGTGAGTAAGAAAAGGTAGTATTTATATATGTTGCACTTTTCTAGGGCAAATGGAGGGATTGAACCAGTTATTATGAACCCAAAACCTGCCATATTATTCTTATGTCTAAAAGTTTCTACTGGCTAACCTCGTCCATATGTTTTTTTACACATATTGTCACCACTTGTAAACACCTTTTTTATGAGGAGAAAATAATAATAGTTTGCATGTACTGACTAAAGAAGATGTGGAACTTTGAGAGTTCTTGATTCATGTGGATTGGTCCAGGATTTGGCCCATTTAATGAACCCCCTGGCCAGATATCACACATTCTTCCCACTGCATATACAGTAATTAAGAACAGTTTTAATACTGGTTTAACCCCTTGTTTCTGTCAGCGAATTCTCTTGGTAGGGTGACACAATGATAAGAATATGTTCTGAATTTAAGGCTAAACACAAACGGTAACACCTTGTGACACAAAATGCTTCTCCCTGTCATTATATACTGATATTTTTATAAGTGTAATTGCTTTAGGTGCAGCTCAATTGCTGCAATTAAAGTGTAGAGAATGTTCTTGTGCACAGAAGTGCTCACTTCAGTTTCATCTGTGAAACATTGATTGTATTTGTGTTTTTAAGCCATTTCATTCATTTTTCATTGTTTTGAAATATCTGAATTTCATGATCTTTTGCCAATTTACTTTTTACTAGGAAACAAATGTGACCTAGAAGAGGAGCGGCAGGTTCGGTTTCAGGAGGCCTGCGCTTTGGCAAAAGACAAAGGGATGTTAGCAGCTTTAGAGACATCTGCAAAGGTAATCTGTCTGTCTCTCTGTCTGTATGTCTCTCTCTGTCTGTCATTCTCTCTGTCTGTCACTCATCCTCTGCCTCTGTCTCTGTCTCTGTCTGTATGTCTCTCTCTGTCTGTCATTCTCTCTGTCTGTCACTCATCCTCTGCCTCTGTCTCTGTCTCTGTCTGTATGTCTCTCTCTGTCTGTCATTCTATCTGTCTGTCACTCATCCTCTGCCTCTGTCTGTATGTCTCTCTCTGTCTGTCACTCACCCTCTATCTCTGTCGCTGTCTGTCAGTCACTCACCCTCGGTCTCTCTGTCTCTCACGCATCGTCTCTACATTTTTGTCTCTCTCTGTCTCTCACCCTCTGTCTGTCTGTCTGTCTCTCTCTGTCCGTCATTCAGATTCAGATTCAGTTTATTTGCCATTTGCAGTAAAAACACCACATTGGAATACATTAGCAAAAGTCACCAGTGTGCACAGACAAATACAGACATAAAACAACATTAAAAGACAAAAATAAAACAAATAAAACAGTAAACAAATGTCACTGTGAAATCGATCGACTAAAACAGTTTCAAAACAAGTGAAAATCATTAAAGTGCTCTGTTCACACTGATAACAGCCTGTGGATAAAAACTGTTAGCGTAACGAGATGTCCTGCATCTCAGAGAGCGATATCTTCTGCCAGAGGGAAGAAGCTGGAACATGGCTTTTCCAGGGTGGCCAGAAGAGTCATTGACAATCCTAAGAGCTTTGTTTAAAAGTCTGGATTTATAAAGAACCTCCAGAACAAGAAGCTCACAGCCCACGGTCCTCTTTGCAGAGCGGAGCACCTTGTTTAAAGCTCTCTTTTCTTTATCTGTGATGTTACCAAACCACACAGACACAGAACCAACAAGTAAACTCTCAACGGTGCAGCGATAAAAGTTAAGCATAATCTTAGAGTTAGTGGTAAATTCTCTAAGTTTACGCAGAAAGTAGAGACGCTGACGAGCTTTCTTAACGACTCGGTCAGTGTTTTTAACCCATTTCAGGTCATTAGACAGAGTTAGACCCAGAAACTTGCACTCCTCTATGATCTGCACCTGGGAGTTGTCGATTACGACAGGCAAATGAGAACTATTGCGACTGAAGTCGTAGACCAGTTCACATGTTTTCGATGCGTTCAACTGGAGGTTGTTAGTTTAACTCCACTGAACCACATTTTGTATCTCTGCTCTATAAGAGGATTCATCAGTGTTACTGATGAGACTGATGATGGTGGTGTCATCAGCATATTTGATGATCAAGTTTGAGTCAGAGGAGGACACACAATCGTGAGTGTACAAAGTAAAAAGCAAAGGACTCAAAATACATCCCTGAGGAAAACCCGTGCTCACAGAAACAACATCAGAAAAACAGTCATTGATTTTCACTCTCTGAGATCTGTCAGTTAAAAAGCTAAAAATCCATTTACACATGGCAACACTTAAACCAAGAGACATGAGCTTTTCAATCAGTTTACCTGGGACAAGGCAGTTAAAAGCAGAGCTATAATCGATGAAAAGCATTCTCGCGACAGATTTACTAGTGTCCAAGTGACTGTAGACAGAGTTCAGAGCAAAGGAGATGGCATCCTCCACACTCCTGTTCTGTCTGTAAGCAAACTGGAGCGGGTCAACACTCACAGGGATCTGGCTCTTGATAAAGTCCAGCACAAGCCGCTCAAAAGTTTTCATAAGAACAGACGTGAGAGCCACAGGGCGGTAGTCATTCAGGCATGTCACAGGAGTTTTCTTAGGAACTGGAATGATGGTCGACTCTTTAAAGCAGTTCGGCACAGTACAGTTCCTTAGCGACAGGTTGAAAATGTCTGTTAGCACAGGGGCAAGTTGCTCAGAGCACAGTTTCAGGACACGAGGAGGGATGCCGTCCGGGCCTGGGGCTTTCCGGACTGTGGTCCTGGACAAGACACGCCTGACTTCCTCCTGAGTCACGGTGAAGGGACCTTGATTGAAACAATCAGGGAATACAGCAGGACAGGCATCAGCAGATTCAAAGCGACAGTAGAACGTGTTCAGCTCGTTTGGCAGAGCTTGGCCGACTGATGCAATTTTCCCAGCACTAGGTTTCCACGATGTGATGGCTTTAATACCGTTCCACATGCGCCGAGGGTAATCTTCCTCAAAATAACTCTTTAACCTGTCCCCGTAACTGCGCTTTGAAGATTTAATAGAACTGAAGAAGATGACATAGTCTGGGATCGCGTCTTTCATTCTGACAGAAGACATGTTTTATTGTCGATGGTAGAGACAGCACGAACAACACGAACAACAGATACAACAGAATGCAAGTGTATTATACAGAGCGGAGGCATGGAGACCTCCAATCAGCAGCTGCCACAGTGCCATGTAGCTTGGCCTTCAGATAGACAAAACAAGGGAAAAGTACTGGCTTCTACACATTGATAGAATGATGAGTTTAACTTTAACAAAAGTTGCTTCAAAGTGTAATGAAATCTCACATTCCCCCCTCTGGTCATACATTCACGTGTGACCATCAGGATCGATAAACAGCAACATAACATCATAACTCAATACTTCAAAAACTCATAAAACATTTTCAGATCTTTCATAAAACTTGTCAACAATCTTCAGTAAAATACCAAACTTCATCAGTCGATGGTGGTTCTCAGATATTGCTTTGAAAACAGTCTTTTCCACTTCTCTGTGTTGGTTTCTTCAGGCTGCATTTGTCGTGTCGAGCCATGAATTCTTCTGTGACGTGTTCTTTCAATCACACTTTTCAGCTTCAGTGTCCAGATTCAGAAATCCAATTCAGTCCAAATTATGTCCAAATTCAGAAATCCAATTGTTCCAAATTATGTCCATGCAAAAGAGGACGATGGTGTTGTCCATGTCTCAGCAGCTCACAGCCTGACTGGAATCAGGGGCTGTGCAGATAGTCCAAGTGTGCTGGTCCAGATGCATGGTTTCTCTTGAGGTTTCTCAGTTTTGGCTTAAAATAAAAAACACATTTTTGTGTAAAAAAAAAAGTAGTCTTCTGTTCTCTAGATGTTACAGACAAGGCCCGCATCCTCCACCACCTGAAGAAGATGACAAAGTCTGGGATCGCGTCTTTCATTCAGACAGAAGACATGTTTTATTGTCAATGGTAGAGACAGCACGAACAACACGAACACAGATACAACAGAATGCAAGTGTATTATACAGAGCGGAGGCATGGAGACCTCCAATCAGCAGCTGCCACGGTGCCATGTAGCTTGGCCTTCAGATAGACAAAACAAGGGAAAAGTACTGGCTTCTGCACATTGATAGAATGATGAGTTTAACTTTAACAAAAGTTGCTTAAAAGTGTTATGAAATCTCACAGAACGTTTCAATGAGTAACAGGATAGCTTATAAGCAACTGTATCATTAGATTGAAACGCTAACGCACGCTCATAAAGTTCCAGTTTCACTTCCGCGTTCATCCAAGGGTTTTGACTACAATGTTCTTTAATGACCTTCTGACATTCTCTCTCTGTCACTCTCTGTCTGTCTGTCTGTCTGTCTCTCACCCTCTGTCTCTGTCCATCTGTGCACGTGTCTGTCTCTGTCTCTGTCGGTCTGTCTCTGTCCATCTGTGCACGTGTCTGTCTCTGTCTCTGTCCATCTGTACTCGTGTCTGTCTCTGTCTCTGTCTGTCTCTCACTCTCTGTCTCAGTCTGTCGGTAATGGTTCATTGCCAAACATAATTGTACCCAGATGTTTGTATGACGGCCACACTTCTAATGTATCTAGGAAAGTCCCAAAACAAATAAAACACTTTTCCATAACTTTTTAATTAGAGTGCTATAATTTAACAAGTTTAACAAGATTGTGTTGTGTTTAAATGATCTCCGATTGTGACCATTTGTTCGTATTGATATTTTTCCTTAGTGACAAACATGACCTTCATTACTTTAGTTTGCATTTTGATGTTTTGCTTGGGTCTGTGTCTATAGGAGAGCCAGAACGTAGATGAAGCCTTTAGGATGATAGCCAGAGAGCTGATGTCCCGTAACGGCCTTCATGTCCACCAGGAGGACGGGATGGGTCCTCCACACACTCTGCTCCGGACCAACTCCAAACCCATAGACATCGGGGCCTCCGCCTTCATGCAGGATAAGAAAACCTGCTGTTGAGAAGCTCTGAATGCTATATACAGCAAGACTGAAGCATGGACAGACACAGCTGATAGGGAGAGAATAATGTGTGGCTAGTGCTGTGAACTATATGATCAACAAGAAAGTATTTATAAGGAACCAAAAAGTAAAAATATTAGCACAATTTTACAATGATGTTTGAATGTGATTGTGTGTGTTTTGTTTATGATGCAACAAGAGTGCGCCGTCAATGTCACGACTCAGAAACACTACAATCAGAGGAATACAAATCACTCTTCTTAAAGCTCTGTCGTTACTTCTGGTCATGTGATAAGCCAAATTTTTCTACACTGTAAGTTTGTGCCATACCTCAGAAAAAATGCTGCTTTGGATTTGTACTGAATTTAGGGGAAACTTCTTTAATGAAATAGAGTTCAGATATTGTGTTATTCTCTCCACACGGTGATGATGGAAGTGAGACCCCAAACACACTGGTCCATCGAAGCCTCCATTCACTCACTCCATTCATACCTATTATACATGTTTTTAGCGGCAGGGAAATCCTGGAGGAAACCTACACAGACACTGGGAGAACATGCAAACTCCACTCAGAAAGACCCTGTTCTGACTGGGGTTTGAACTCCGAGCTTTCTTGCTGAGAAGTAAGAGTGCTCACTACTCAGTCACCATGTCGAGCAAGGCAGAAGAGTTCTATATAATGTAATAACTGACTTTTTTTTAGAGAGTTTCTTCAGCAAAACCGCTTTGTTCCACCTCCATGACATTTATAAGATTGAAGTTGTCGTCACAGTGAGGCTATAGCATTTTATAAACTCTGATTCTTGATCATGTGAGTGTGAAAGTGGCCTTGTCACTCCTCCTGCAGCACACACATCTCCTGACACTATAATCTGATGAAAACTCTTAACAATGTGAACAATGTGAGGTCAGAGGCACATAAGAATGAGTGCTGTTATCTCCCCTTTTCAAACTCAATGATAACCAAACAAAAATTCAGTTTCAAAAGCACTGTTGAAACTTTCTGGCCTGTCAATCATGGATTGTTTATATTGTATTTGTATTATTTCAGACGATGTCCCAATTGAGTATATCTGTTTTAAACAACAACTGGTATATGCATTTAATACACAATAACCAAATATTACAGCAAAAGTGACTTCCAACATGGACTGATGAGCTGGAGCTGACCAGAGTCCAGGGCTGTCTTTTGTCCCAGTCTGCCCCTGCATGGACGTAACTTGCAGTATCCTGTTATGTTTTATTGATCAAACCTAATGCTACCACAGAGAGGCATTTGTGTGGTGACTGTACTGCACAGCTTGTGTCTTACTATGAACTTATGTTTGTGTTTTATCCCAGTGTGAAAGGAACACATCCTTGTGACTTCTCCAAAATCTGAAGTCACTATTTTACTGTCTCACTGCTGATCCCTTTACCAAGTGCGCACACGCAGAACAGAAAAAACAAATGATGAAGACAAAAGTATGGTCTCTTATGAACCGCATCTCCATCTGGATACAGGAATACAGTTTAAGGAGGTCGTTACTCTATGAGATACTTGTATAATTTATTCAAGGTGTCTCTTTTTTCAGGATATTTGGCACCTTTCTCGTTACTATCGATTATCCAGGTCATGTGCCCAGAAGGTGAAGTTGTCAAAATAAAAGGAATCTCAAATCATCCATAACTTGACTGTTGTATCTACTGAGGTATTTATTAAACCAGAGCAGACACGGGGAGAACATGCAAACTCCACACAGAAAGACCCAGTCTGAATAGAACCCAGGACCATCTGGCTGTGAACCCTGAACTACTGTTTCTTTTCCGAGTAGGTTTTTGGCCAAATAAATCTGCTAGTATACAACCTAATTCTTTGCATCTGGTGCTAATCTCAGTCACACAATACTATTATTTCAGCTCAGATTTTACTTGATTGAGCTTTGTCCATTAGAAAAGTGAAAGTTTTGTGGGTGGTAAATATTATGCTTTCTGCAGGGAGTGGCCTTCTCCTCATATGAACACATCACCATCTCATTCTTTGATAGGCTTCAACTTCCCACAAACACAACATTTGGATGGTTGTTTCCTATTTACAATATTTAGTTGACCTTTTACCAGAAAGATAACACTTCCACACACATTTAAAAAAATCCAAAATACAAATCCACGCACAGCTTTGATAAAGCGATGTTTGCAAAAGTAGTTTCCTCCCAATGTAAACTCGCCATCTATTTTTGTCATAAATCTTGAAGTCATATTTTTGTCTCAAAACAAGCTGCAGAACCCACTATGAGCAGCAGAGGGCGCTGTGCGCCTAGATATGTTCTGACCCAGTTCTTTCCTGGACATTAAAGATTTAAAATGTCTAAAGGTGACTTGGCTTTCCATAAATTGAAAACATGCGTGGCACAGTGATCTGTCCACATTTTGTTCAGTTTTATCAAACTAATGCATGGATATTATTGTGGATACAGTAAAAGCGCTGTTGGCAGAAATTTCTTCTAAAACAATCTGGTTGTTATTAAAGTAATCCCAGGCCATAGAGACACATGATCCATTTCTCTTTATTTATTTCGTTATTGCTGGCAAAGGGTCTGACTTCTTCCGCCAATGTATCAAAATAGAATGGCACCAAAGGACAACTGGATTTGAGCTGTTACCACTATCGAATGAAAGGGAGGAATACAAAAGTGCACTCACTTTTCACTCACCACGTGTTGCCAAAAGTAGATTGCAGAAAAAACAGTCTTAGTATCAATGTCAACTTTTTTATTATTATTATTATTTGGGTGAAATTGCATGTTCTCCTCAGGTGCTCTGGTATCCCCTACTACCAAAAACATGTAGGTCTGAATGTAATGAGTTTACATACATAAAAATGACATACTTACGATGCATGATTAGACCTATACAAAAAACATATCAAATTGGCATTGGATAGGAATTCAGAGGAATTTGAAAAAACAAGCATTGAGATAAAAATTTCAGCAATTTATTTGTTGGAAAAGAACAAAGATCATCACATACATTAATTAAACATGGGCATAAACTACTGTACCATATCAGTAAGAATAATATCTCAAAACCTGAATTCAATAGTTCCTTTGCTATAGCAAAAGCAGCACCTGTAGTTCTGAAAGATTTGAAGAGAACATAAAGAAAACTCAAATATCTGACACTCACCCAAGCGAGATGGGTTTACACATGAAAAATCAATTTGTATTTATGAGGATTTTTAATGGATCCACAGACGGATGCTCTACATACATGAGTCTTTCTGGAGGTCCTTACAAAGACACTATTTATGAATTAGCCAAGATGTTGATTACTTTTCAAGATCTTTTCAAGTTGATTACTTTTCAAGATTAGCCAAGATGTTGATTACTTGTCAAAAAAAACAAAAAAACAAAGACACAAAATGCAATGAAAAAAAGTTTTAAATCTGGGGTACAACTTTTTTTTTCTCAAATAATACATTGTGGTTATCACAACAGAGTCCTTTAAAAGAAATAAAAAGAACATATCTGACCACACAACATGCTGCCTTTATCTTATTAGAAAACATATCAATTCCATACTTGTAATAAAGAGCCCTGTGAGTCACTATTTGACCATTTGGGCTTCGAGCTGATTGGCTTTTAACTGTTCAGTCTGACAAAGCTGATCTAAAGATGTGACTAGTTACATGGCTTTATGAATTATTGGGGTTTGAAAGTTAAGTACCCAAGCTTTAAATTGGTTGGGCACTTCAATTTATAATGAGCAACTCTTCAATATTAAAATGTAGCTGCAAAGTTTATCTGCAAATGAGCTGCAAAAAGAATGCAAACAGAGGTCAAAAATACATCTATGTGAAAATTACATGATTCAATTTCTGCAGTGACAAAGTTTGGTACGCTAGCTATTAACTCTTCCTTTTGTTGCAGTGGTATTTCAGTAATCCCTCAAAGTCATGTTGCGGTTTCCTAATTCAATCGAATAATTTCTATCCTGTTCGGCTTCTTCTGGATGGGCTGTGGTAAGGCGCCTCCCCCCTCCGTCTCTCCCACCACCTCTTGCGCCTCGTTCTCCCCCCCCTGCCCGCCGGGGCTGATCTCCAAATCCGTCTGCTTGTCTTTGGGGCATTCCCCGTTGTAGGTCTTGACATAATCCTCCACTCTCCAGCCCCTGAACTCGGCGGGCTCGGAGCACACCAGGCCCGAGTAGGACACACCAGGATGATGCTTGAGCCAGTACATCAGGTAGTGGATGTTGTAGTCGCACATCCAGGGGTTCCGGTCCAGGGAGAGTTTTCGGAGGAAGTACAGGTCCTCCAGAACGCCGTAGTGGAAATACTGCAGGCTGTTGTTGGACAGGTCCAGCTCGCGGAGGTACAGCAGACCAGAGAAGGAGGCTGTGGAGAGAGGGAACAGGTCTGTTTCATGTGCCATTAAAGAATTAGGTCATAATCTGCAGCTGCTCTTGCTCCTCTATTGGCTCTGCTTGTCCCCATGTGTAGAGACCGTTTGATCCGATGTTCCAAACCCATACTACGCCATTCTTTTTCCATTTCCATCTATTTTACCAGTGTTTTATTGTTAAACGAACTAGAAAGATGTATTCCTTGAGCATGCTCGGACCGTGACAGAGTACAGAGATGCTAGTAAAACAATCTAGTTCACAAAAGTTATGCTCTTTTATTATAACATTTACATGACATTGGCCCTTTGCTCCTTATGAACCAAGGGCTCTATGTGTTTTCATCATTACATTTTCTGTGTTTGAATTGTTTGATTCTCTGACCTGTGTCCTCTGAGATAACTACTATTGTGATTTAGGACTTAACAAAAATAAGATTGAGTTGAAAATTAAAGAGTGCTAATACAAAATGTGTAGGCATGTGATTGATATATTCAGCATATTATTGCCTCTGCCCAGGAGGTAAAGTGATCATCTGCGTTTGTCTGTTTGTCAAAAGGTTTTGAAAGTATTTGGACGAGATTCCCAGGAAATGTTTGCAATGCCCCAGTGAACAACTTCAATTCAAGTTTGGAGTTCGGAGATGATCCGAATCATCGTCCGGAGGTCGGTTTTTTTTAGGGAATGGAACTGTGCCTCCAGGTTATATCTGTGCTCCACGAGTGCTTTTCTAGTTTGTAATGAAGTAGGAAGGCCAATGGTAACTCGGGAGCTGTATGATAGAGAATTAATATTTGTTTTAAACCATAAAAAGGATTTATTGGCAAAATATTTCATCAATAGCTTTTAATTATCAGTTATAGTAGTGATTAGAGAGTGATATAGAGAGTAGTGATCTGTCAATGTTTCATGGTAAATGTCTGATGTTTTTGACACACTATTATTTTAAATTTAATTTCACATTCCAAACACAAACACAGACTAAGACCGAACTGTGAAAGGGTACTTTAAAACTGACACGCTTCTAAAGGATGGAACATCTCATGGGAACTCTCCCCGGTCTCCTTCAGAAGGCATTCGATTCTGCTGCAGAGGCTCAGGACTTTACACTGGCAGTAAATGGATCCAAAACTATGGACATGCTCTTAAGTGTGTGGAGAGAGTGCAACATGCCCTGTCCTCCACTGTCTGAAGACAAGGGTCAGGAGATGCAATGAATCTCTATATCTTTAAGATGCTTGAAGTAAAAACATATGCGGATTTATTGTGGGATGCTCATATTGAATTGATGCTCTCCAAAACCCGAGCTCTAGGATACGCATCTCAGTGCGGATGGGGTCTTGGAGCACAACTATTTTAGCTTAATCAGATCTGTGCCAGTGGTGTGTGAGGCGGGCTGATGAAAGGCCTGTCAGAGGAGCTGGAGCGGGTACACAGAAGATGCTGTGGGATTATTGGAACCCCACCGTCACCCACCCTGACTGAGAGGCACGAAGAAACCACCTGAAATTATTTTAAATTACTATATCAAGTTGCAATATTAATGGGAACTGGCTACGTCAGCATGTTATATCTCTTTTTAACATAATTTCCTCAAGAATACAACCACATTTTAAAATGTATTTAGAAATGTTAAGCCAACATGTAATTAGAAGTTAAATTGTTTAACTGTTAGAAACGGAACCAATTTTGTTAAAAAAAAAAAAAAATCTACAGGAAAAGACTGTCCAATCTAATTCATGTGAATCAAGTATTGGATCAAAATGAACAGAAAGCTACTTTTGTTCTTTTGGGGCCCAGATTCAAAATTGTTGCTGTTTGGCTCTCAACCAAGATTAGTTTGACACCCCTGTTTTAAAGACATGTTTGAATCCATGGATATTGAAAAAACAGACTAATCCTTTCTGCTCATGATCCAATTACTCCAAGAATGTGGTCATAATGAGGCCTTCTCTACAGGTATTGAACAATCACACTTCAGTCACAGCCAAGAGCCTGTGTTTAGCTGCACCTGCTCTCTGTCAGGGGCCTACACTTGAAACAAATAAGACATAATAATGATGAGCAGCTGTATCAAAGACCTTTAGGTGCCTTTACATTCACCTAAACAGACACATATTTACCTAATGTCTAATCATGTGCAGGCGTTTGAGCAGAGTGACCTGTGTGAGAGGAGCGCTTCGTGCCTCCACTGGCCTTGGGGAAAGCTTTGATCTTCTGAAGGATAGAAGGGAAAGGGGAGGAGCATGTGGACACGCTATAAAGATGGACAACTGTTTGAAGAAATTACAGGAAGGACATAGAGCACTCCGGAGACACGTCCCCGCCTCTGCTCTGTCCATTTGGAGTAATTGCAGTGGTAAAATGACAATACTGTATTTGCATCAACAACCTCAAGCAGGAGGGAAAGCCTGTCCTCTGGTTTTATCTTTCCACATTCAAGTTCAGTTTCCTTTGTAATTATTTCAAGTTAACCCTGTTTCAAAATGTAAAACTACTTTTGTCTCCTGGGGTTATCCATGGCATTGAGAAAACAGTGATAATTACAATGTAAACAGGCAGTTGTGCAAAGAATCAGTCACTCAAGACCTCAGCAATTTGATGAAAAGAGCAGGCCAAGTCTTCATTCATTCTAATTTGAAACTGCTCTGTCTGGATAGGTTTCCATGTTTGCTTGCATTGTTTGATTGCATTGGCTATAGGCCTCTTTGTCTATTTGTCAACCCCTGAATTTGAGACATTAGTCAACAAACAACTATGCATAAACACAATTTCACTTTGACATCAGTGAAATATTAGCGTCATATCAACCAACTCCTGTTTCTTTTCTTGTTTCCTAATGCATTTTGAGTTGCCTTGTGTATGAACATTTACAAATAAACATGCCCTGCCTTTTCTATTTTACAGACAGAGAAGGTTAGACTGAAGTTGTCACTTATTTGGGCTGGCATGAGGCTATGGGACAGCTTGCATTGTAGGATGGGTCAAATGCAGAGGACAAAGTTCCCCACGGAGAAAATATTTACTCCCCACTTAACCCTGGATTAAAGTCAAGTCGCACTTCTTGCACAGAGAAAACCCTATTGCCAATCCGTTGTAGACAAACATTGCAGAAACAAAAAAACTCCTTTTTAAAGCTTATGAGGCATATTAAAACCCACAAAGTTCAAATTAAATCTGATCCCCTGAGAGTATGTCTAAACAACTCTCAAAGTGTCACTAAAAGCAGCTGAGATTTGCCCCCTTCCATCAGCCGGATTTCATTCTCCACTCTGCATGTTCTTAATCTTTCACAGTAGTGTAACAAATCCCAAACACTGACTCAGCATTTTATTTTCAAGCAGCTCATCACTTTTTCCAGCTCTTATTGTGGCTCTAGATTAGGTCTGAAGGAGGTGGTTCATGAGTGCTCTGCAGAAGTGATAAATGACGGGGCTGTATAGGCTTGCCCCACTGTTCTAGTCTCCACAACAAATAAACAGTGTGATTGTTGAGGTCACTATACACTACTTTTTTCATCATGCATCAAGCACGTGATGCCAATGAGGAGGGGAGAAGAACAAACAGGGCTGGCAGGACAGTATCAGCAAAATGAATCAACTACTATCAACAACTTCCCTGTAAGACTTTGTGTGTTCATAAACTATGGGTTAATAATTGCATTCTTAAATCCAGACCCTCAGAACTTTTAACATAGAACCGACATCCTACTGGAAGTGTAAGGCGGATGCGACTGCCCAGGGATTACTTGGTTTGGTCCCCTGGTGGTCCTTCTTCTAGGATTGGATTTACCAGGGCGGACTCATTGTTTGTTTAATAATTAATGAGACCATCCCAAAGGCTTCTCTTAGTTTTTAGTTATCCTGGACCTGAGTGTGTGTCTGTGTGTGTTTTATATTATGAAAATTATAAAACATTTGATAAGGGGAAAAGGAATTATGCTCTACTAATCGAATATACACTTTTACTATCCCACAACTCAAAACAAGAGACTACTGTACATATTAAGCAGACATTTATAGAAGCCGCAACAGCAAGATTTTAAAATAAAGTCCATTTTGTCCACATATAGGCCACATTTCAATATAAGCCGCAGGTTTTCATGCTGTAATGTAGTACTGTGCTGATAGACAGCCAAACAAAGCAGATTGAAGAAAGTTTTTCACAACATGATTTAAAGATGCAGTCAGTCATTTTTTTTCCAGATGCATTTTTTTAAATATCCTGGGAAAACGTCTCTAAAACCTAAAATAAGTTATCATGTGTTTTCAAATAGCAATGGAATTGACCAGATGCCTATAGTCTCCAAAACATCAATAACAAATATTTTGGAGCAGACCGATAAAAATAAACCAATGGGATTCGTTCATCCCCAACAAACCAATGGAATGGGTTTATCCCCTTCACCCTCTTCCTGTTTCTCACGAGTGTGTGCACCTGAGCTATCGGATTTTATAAAACTCAAAAGGGCTGAACAGAAAATGCCAATTTCAAGTTTTCCACCCACTCTCCCCGTTGTGACAAAGAAAAGAAAATGCTGGGTGTTTGGTTTGGTGGAGAGGGGAGGGGAGGAGGGAGTGGTTTCCAGTTGGTGCTACGGCTAAGCTAACAAAATGGCTTACTGCACCTTTAAGGACAATTCATGGACAATAACAGAGTGTCCTGTAGCTACTACATCTTGATTGTGTAATAAGTTCATAAACTCTGCTCTGACAACGGCCCAACTCGACCACAATAAAAATACACATATTAGCCGCGGCACTATATAAGCTGCAGGGTTCAAAGAATTAAAAAGTAGTACCTTATAGTCTAGAAATTACAGTACATTGAGCACCTATCATTACTAAAAATGTTTTTAAAAAAATTCATTCATTTCAGGCAATTTCAGTTCAATTACAGCAGGACACATAGTTGAGTACATTCAATCGGTTTTCACTTCATTAACCTTCACTTACATAATAGAGCAACATTGTTTATGGTGGAAAGCAGAACCACCTTGGCTTGGATTCAAACTACATTACCCTCCTTGTCCTAATATATCAAATTTGTTGTTGTCTGCTTTTTCTGCCCTTTATCTAAATGAGTCCGCCTCCTACACAAACAAGACACGTTTCCGAATTTATGATTAAAAGGATGCAACTTGATTGAGGCCATATGTCAGCGGTCCTAACGAGCTTTCAGAAATACACAGGGCCAGCTCCTCACTTTGTCGAATTGCGGATGATTGTTTACATGTGTCCAGCTGTAATGAATGCAGCTACAAGATGTGGTAAAGGATTTCCCTCATGGCCAGGAAGACATTAGCCCAGAGATCATTAGGCTGCAAGAGCAATGAGTCTGCACTTTCATAAAGCAGGACCACGGAGGAAAGTGCCAGTTTATTGGAGCAGGATTAGTATGCAGGGCAAGAAGGCAGCTTGGTGAAATTGATCTTTTGAACAGTGAATTCCCTGGTGTGTTTTGGATAAATCTACAGCTGACAGCTCCGTAATGGATTACTTTGTTTAGGGCTGGGTAAGGTAAAGGGGTTTTTAACAAGCTCAAACTTTTAGACCAAAAAGTGTGACAATGGCTGCACGCTATGTGGACACGTTTTTGTCCCACTGATTAAAAAAGGGTATGAGGGTAAAATTCACATGAAAAAAATAAGTGTTTCAGCTGCTTTTTCTCAACGTATTTGCGTCGCAGCAGGAGAGGGGTAAGGAAGGTTTGAAAGGACAAGCCACAAGAATATGAAATTATGTTGCCGAGTAGTTAACTCTGAGTGGGGTCCGCATATACAGTACTTCCTGTGTCCGTGTAGGTTTCCTCCCTGCACTCCGGTTGCCCCTACCACTAAAAACATGTCCAATAGTCACCTCGCTCCCATCTCTGTGTGGAGTGAGAGACAAGTGCCCAAAATAACAAATGTAAAGTGCTTTGTGACTCTGGTCTGTGAAAGGCGCTATATAATAACGGCTTATTAACCGAGTGCGAGGTCTGTATGGAGAAATATCAGGGTCATCAGGCCAAGGTCTGATATTTCTCTGTACAGACCGAGCAAGCAAGGTTAATAAATGTTTTATTATATGACTCTCGTCTGTGTCTTTACCAATGCTTTTGAGATATTTGTTAAGTATGTTCATGTCCGACTTGGTTTTGTGTGATACGCGCTGCGGACAGATTGTCATGGTAACGGTCCGAGGAAAGATATCAAATGTGATACGCGCTGTTCGGACCAATTGTCATGGTAACGGTCCGAGATGGGAAAATATCAGACCGGTAATCAGCCAATCAGAGCGCGCGTACGGTCCAAGTCATATAATAAATAGAAATTACTTACTTACTTACTTACAATAGGTAAAATCCTCCGCCTCTGGTCTGAACAATCTCAGCAACAACATCTGGGCATGGATTTCTGACTGTTTCAATGTTTTCAACAGTTCTGTTTAGCTGTGCACACAACTGAGGGATTGTATTTTCTCTATTTTTTATGTATTGTGATTACTTATGATTTTAATGCCTTGTGTGATTTTAATTTTTCTTTTCTTGTTTGGTTAAGCACTTTGAGTTTCCTTGTGTATAAATGAACCCTAAATCCAGTTGCCAAAAGCTTTTGAAAACAGCTGGAATATGCAGCCCAACATCCTGTAACATTTAGAAAACAGGGTTGCAGCATAAAAGATTACGAACACGCAACACAAGTGCATAAAAACCGGCTTAGAGCTCGTCACGCTTTTAATTGGAACATGGACAGGAAAAAGAGTGGAGTCATGACTGGCTTTGTTAAAAAAATACTGCCAAAGTCAGCAGAAAAGGCTGCAGTTTACAGGTCATCACCTTAATCGCTTGTGTTCTCCCAACGGAACTTTTTCATCACAATCTTTTATCATTACTTTATGTCGTTATGTAGGAAAAAGTGCACAGTGGACAGTCGATGATTATAGCAGCCATTTTTACCTGTGTCGATCTTGTGCAGGCTGTTGCTGCTGAGGTTTAGCTGCTTGAGGTCTTTGGAAAGGAGGAACTGTTTGGGCCGGAGGCTTCTGATGGTGTTCCCGGACAGATCCATCTTTACAATGTCGGAGTGCAGGCCAGATGGGACGCTCTTCAGGTCTGGGACAAGATACAAAATATCAGCTTTACTCAACAACTGATGCAACCACAAGACATAATACAATTCAAACAAGTGGAAGAGAAAATGTTGGCACAAAAAACTTCATTGAATCGGAAGAAATCTGTAGATTGAATGCAACAACACATGAAAGTCTAAATATCAGCCGTTGCTCCACTTCCATAAACAAAGAAGAGGTGTGTAGTTTTTCATGACAATACATCCTGTTTGACATATGGTGAACAAATCAGATGATAACTTGCAGTCTTCACCTTATTAGAAAACAAGTTACATTATGCATACTTGTAAACAAGCTGATGTGACAGATGCAAGAAGTACATATGAGTGAACCCAACTGGTTTTCGGAGTAACTAGTTAGATTTCAGGACATATCATCTGTAAATAAGTAAATTCTTAAATCATGTGCAATGTGCATTATCGCAACTTCTGAATGTCCACGGAACAATGTCACTTTACTGTATCTACTTATTATCCTGCCCTATATGTACAGTAATTAACTCTGCACACATGGGGTTTTTTTGGACTGGTTTTGAAGCATTTTCAGCATCTACAGCTAGTTATGTTAGTTAAGAAACATAGCTACTACTTATTTTGTATATTGTGTGTGCTCCCTGTGTGCTCTTACTACTGTCCTGTATGTGCGCTGCAACCATGAAATTTCCCCACTGTGGGACGAATAAAGGAACTCTTATCTTACCTATCTTATCATAGTCCAAATTGTAGCGGTTTTAAAGTTAGGTACACTCATCACTGCTTGCTCCATCTTACCAAGTTAAGTTGATCAGGAGATTAGTGGGGTTACTGCAGAATCCAGGAGTGAGGAAAGACAGGGACAGTGTACAATAAACATTAGCCAAGAGGAGAGATGCATTGTACCAAGTTGTAGCAGCAGTGCTAATTTACACCTGTAGTCCCTGAGAATTTAACTTGGATTTTAATCTAATTCTTAGTGAAAAAATTCAGGCTGAAAGATCTACAGTACTATACAGGTTAGAATATATAGCGACTCCCAATCATCTGTTATTATCACCTATCCTCTCAGTGGCTACCATTACAGCTAGATTTGCACAAAGCTTCACTCTGAATGTAGCATATATTAAAGCTGCTAGTGGAATTTCAGGCATAGACAGATGTGCTGGACAGTAAATGTAACGTCCAACAGTCTGCAGGAGAGCTGGGAATCCAATCAGCCTGCGTATATTTTCAAGATGTTGTGAGTGGGTTGTGAAACATTTAACATTTTCAAGATGAGGTCAAAACGAGATCCTGTTTGACAATATTTGCACCGCCTCTCTTTCTCAGGCAGACATTAGCATTCAAGGATTTACACATGGCCTTTTAAACAACCATCATAGTGGTGCTGATTTTAAACCCTCAGAAATCTGGAAAATTTAGCAAAAAAGTGACAGGGATAGTAACAGCAGTATTAGTATGTGAATACGGTATTGCCTTAGAAATAGCAATGAAATTACATTTCTTATATTTACTATTTCATGCCTCGCAAGATTGCAGGTCTTAGATACAATAAAATTGTGTGCATATCCTTGTGACACTGAAATAATGAACACACAACTGAAAGTAAAGCCAACAACTAAATAGAAACCCATATAATGTTTTAGCTTTATACTTCAACTGCAAATTAGAGCGGCACATGTTGTCTTCTGGGAATCAGCTTATGAATCATAAGTCATTTGATTTCAGAATAAATGGCTTATGAGTGTGTTTTCCACAAATAGCCCATCTATCGCCTGTCAGTTTTACAAAATCGTGTGTAAGCCAGGTCAAAGCTGTGTTTCAAATCAAGACAAAAACTGAGATGGGAACGCACATAAACGGACATTATTGGAGAGTAATGGAAGCATATGCAGGAGATGTAAGTGATAGTTTTCTCATATATGTTTATGTGAGAAATGTGTTATGTGTTTAGTGTGCCAGGTTTTTCGTGGATATTCTTTGCTTTATTTGCATATAGTTTGTATATTTAGATATAATTGCCAAACTTTTTATCCAACCAGAATAGAGCACACTTTTCATCCATTAACATGACAAGATCCAAAAGCCTGCAATATAAACTTGTGAAACCTTAATATATTCAGAAACTCCCCAGTGGCGCATCGGCCTCTATCCTTTTAGTTTTCTGGCCAAGAAAAAATAAACAACAGCTGCTCTCCGGTCTTCACGGACAGTAGTAGTAGATTTTATTATGTGGTACTGCCAAGGTTAAAAATAATGAGATTCAAGCTGAAGACTTGACCAGAACTAAAAAAATAAAATAAATATAATATAATTCTAAACACCACTACAAGACTCTGTGAAAAATACAGCAATTTGAGGAGAATAGAGAAGAAAGAAAAAAACGTGGCTGGCCCTGATAAAACAGCAGTCTGTTTTGCCCGAGCCGGGAGGTGAAGATACCTGATTGCTCGGGTTTAGGGTTAGGCAACATAGCATTATAATCGAAGCCGCACAGTGAGGGTGAGTTTGTCAAAACTTGCATGTTTAAGGCTGGGAAACAACAACTTTTTCAAGAACTTGTTCAAGCTGCAAATGGAGGTGAGGATTTTTGTGCATTTGACTGTGTTTTACACAAAGACACTGTGCTGTAAGTTCGTTAAGCTTGGATCATGTAATGGAAGTTTTTAAACTGTTCATTTCATCAGCGTCAGAGAGTGAATCATCGCCAGTTTGATGCTTTCTCAGTGACAATAACATAACCATGGACTACCTTACCACACAGAAGTAAGATGGTTAAGCCAAGGTGCTTGTAAAGCGCTTTTTTTCTGGACTACCTACTGTACCTCTGAGAGCAAGTTTTAGCCTTGATAAAATAAAGCTGCACTCAAAGCTAACACACAAGCTCTTAAATTACATTCTAAAAGAGCCACTCTGGACATAGTGCCTGATATTGATGCGCGGGATAATTTTAGCCCTTTTCTGGAGTTAAAACAAAGCATGCCTAAATATTTACAATGTAATATTGTAAATCTCACAGTATTTGCACTATGAAAAACTCACCATTACATTTAAGTTATTCAACAGATTTAGAGTTAAAACTCAGAAAACTATAGGTTTAAAATAAATGTGTTTATGTGCACAAAAAGTTGGACTTTGTCTGGTATTTAAACTGAGAATTTTCTGGTCTGGTTGTGATCCAATTAGGTTGTATTTGGCCCCGGACAAAAAATAGTTTGACACCCCTGGTCTAGATGATCCGCACAGTAGAAATAGAAAATTCCCGCTTATTAAAGTTAGAATTCTGTTTGTATGACTATGTTGTTTTGTTCTATAGTTTGTGATAGTAGACGTTGGACAGAAATGATCAATACATTTACAGTTACCATAATTATCAGCATACATTTTTCAACTGCCCTCCACTGCAATGTTAATATTTTGGCACTTTGGAATGTTGTGATGTCACGCCACATGAAGGACAGGTAAAGCAATACATTATATTAGCCACATGTTTAAATGATAACATACATCTTTTGCCTAATGGTCCTTCCTGTCCAGTTATTGTAAGGTTCTCAGTGGGAGCACAGGCAGGAGGAAAAACAGGCCAGAGGTGATTCATCTATATCTGGGATGGAGAGCAGGTTTAGTCTGTTGCAGCCATCACATTTCTGCACGTATAAAGCTTAAGTCATTTAGCTGCAACAATTCTCTTCAGGAACCAGCTACACAGGGGAGCAGTGAAGACATCAGCCACATTGTTAGTCATTCAAATGTTCCCACGTATATAAATAAAATCATAGGAAATAAATGTTTCAGTTTTAATAACGCTAAGTTTGTGTGGCTGTGCAGTAGCTTTTCAAACTACGCAAACACTTTAAAGAAAATGTGTTTCTGCCTGTAGTCTCCTTTTCCTGATGACACCAACACAAAACATGACTTCTGCTGAATCAGCGCCAATAATCCGGGAACTATAAAGCCCAAGAAGAAAACTTGCCAAAACAACTTCAAACATAAGTCACAGCTCCTCCCCTGTAACTTTACAAGATATTTAAGATCTTCCAGGTTATAAACAAATGTTGAATGCTTGGAGGTCTGAAAGAAAAACTTTAAAAAAAAATAAGGATTTGGGGAAAATATCAATAATATTTAGTTTGTCATTGAGTCTCATAACATATTTGATTGATATTGGTTGGCTTTAAAATTCTGATCCTCAAAGCAAAGGAAGATTTCTCACCCACCATCTGTGCTTCTTGACAGGTTTTCCCGACGTTTCGTCCTTAATCCAAAGAACTCTTTCAAGGGAATGAAATCTCAGACCGTGCATTGGAGATTTATAATATTCTGATGCTAACTCATTAACAATTTATGGTCTGTTTGCTGTGGAAGGGATCAGGTCTAACGAGCCACATCTAACCACACCCATAGGTTATGAATTTGTAATGTCATTTTCTTGAAAAAGTACTTTGGATTAAGGACAAAACGTTGGGAAAACTTGCTGAGAAGTACAGATGATGGGTGAGAAGCCTTCCTTTGCTTTGACTAATCCCTGTACGACTGAGAGTTTACACAGATCTACTTATCGCTGCCAAAATTCTGATTGTCAATTTCGTAAAAGTCAAGTGGTGTGTGTGAAAAATGTAAACAAAAACTGACTTTAAAGCTCACAGGATTTGACTGGATTTTGTGAAAAATCTGTTCTGTATTTTTGTCAATAAAAATTTGGGAATTTAAGCATAAACATCTATCCATCCATCCATTTTTTTCCCCTTTATCCATTTCCGGGTCGGGAAGGTGGCAGTCAGAGATGCACCCAGTACACATAGAACTAAAAAAACATATTATTTATTAAAATTGCTTATAAAGAAATGTGACAGTTGTAAAATGATGATTATTCAAACTGCATACTATACTAATACCATTTGAGGATAGACTACACAGTCCATATGTGTGTAAACTCAGAACTGAGATTATATATTGAATAAACCCCTTATAAAAGCTTCCATATTGTCTCTTAGCAGTCGGCACAATATTATCGAGTGGCAGAGTGGAGCCTGGGATCTGTGCGGTAGACCACAGCCTTTAAACTAGAGCACTCGCAAAAATATATTGTGTGGAGACAGGGAGATTAGAGAAAGTTTCCACTCCGCTACTTTTTCTGTTTCTCTGTGTTTCTGCCCTACCACAACCATTTTAACCATCAAACTGGGAGTGGTAAATGTGCATGGGCCACATAGAAAACATTTAACAATGAGTTGAGAGGCAAGAAGGTTTGGTTCATGTTTTAGAGTTCTATATCAGCTGGAGGGCAGGTGCCAATATGACTCAGTGTGAAAGAAGCAATTTTTGAATGAAATGTTGATTAATAAAATGTCCAAAGGTTTTCCCAGGTTGTTATTTGATAGGGATTAGATTCATAAATCACAATTTCTAGACACAGTTATGAGCAAATTATTAGACCTAGTTGATATGTACTGACATTTAACATGCTGAACTTTATACTTCCTGGACCAATCCACATGAAACAAAAACAATCTCAGAGACAATAACTATAAAGTTTCCATAGTTACATGGAAATATCTTTCAGCTCAACCACAATTCTGAACTATAAACTCCATCCATTTTCTTCCCCTTAATCCATTTCTGGGTCGGGGGGGTGGCCAGAGCTGCACCCAGTACACAGAGCACCAGCCCCTCACTGATCCTCCTGCAGGTGGTGAGTCCACAGGAGGATGGCTGCTCTATGGCATAGCCTTGGTCTTTCAGTGTGGGCTTTTGGGCAAAGTGGGTTTAGGTGTCTTGCCCAAGGACACAACGACAGCAGTCACCAGTGGGAGGTGGAGAAGGTCTCATGATGGGCTCGAACCCACGACCTTTAGGCTCAAATGCCAATACTCTACCAACTGAGCTACTGTCGCCCCTTATAAACTCATGTCAAAGAAACCTATCAATGACATCGGTTTTATATATGTATTTACTACTTAGCTGATATCAAGAACACAAATACACAGCCAATGGATTCATTTGAAGCCTAAACCTCAATTATTACAGAAAACTAAATGTTTCACGTTCAAATATTACATTGTAAATGCATTTCTTTCTTGACCAAAGAACACTGCATGATGCTAAAACAAATAATCTAAAGACTGATATTTTTGAGTAGTTTAGCCCTTTGCAGATATTCCGCTTTTCGCTAAATCAAAGCAGATGAGGTAATGTGATCAACAGCATTTGTCTGTTTGTTTGTTTGTCTGTGAGCAGCATAACCCAAAAAGTTATGACTGGATGGTATTCTCGGTAAACCAGCACAATGGCCCAGTGAAAAACTGATTACATTTTGGAGTTGATCGGATTCGCCGTCTGGATTCAGGAGATTATTAAAGGTAAAAGGAAGTGCACCTCTTGGCGTGGGTCTGCATTTTGCCCTTTTCTAGTTATTTCCGTTTTCATTTTGTTTCTATAAAGTTAGACTCCACCTTTGGTCTGTTTAAAATCAATTTTCAGTGCATTTAGTCACATATTGCTACGACTGGTGAATAACTATAATTAATTACAGCAAGTTCATGAAACATGTTTTCATCCAGGCGTGGTGTCAAATATAACCCTGCAGCTTGGTTCTCTTTGTCACTCTCACACATCACACTTGACTTTTTTATGATGTGGTGCGGTTTGGGATCGGAGGGCTGAAATGTAGCAAGACGGATCGCACAGATAGAGCCGTCTTTATAGTGGTTCAGATAAAGAATCGATTCAGCTTTGGCACAGGATAATAATTAGGAAAATATGTAAAAAAACAAGGCTTCCCCCACGGCAGACACAGATGGTGCATTGTGAGACTTTTGGCATATTGACGCTTCATGAAAGATCGCCCTCTTTGCTGCGCTCAACACTGATGACAGCAATTAAAAACGGGAAATCATTGCGAACCGCGAACACATAGATCTTTCATTTGGGAGTGTTGACGTGTTGGCGTGACGTTCATTTGATGTGCTTTGAAGGACAAAATGGGTTTCCCTGAATAAAATGATGCCAAGTGGGAATTTGTGAGCTGCACATTATAGACAACTCACACATTAAAGTGCAAGAAATCTGAAATCCACTTCCTTTTCAAGCTTTGTAACATGTTTTATGGAGAGCTGGAGAGGTTACAGTCACTACAATAGCAGTTTCATTGTGGCATTTTTACACAGACAGAACCAGATGTGAACTTGGAAAAAAAGACTCCCTTCCACCGTTCGGCAACCCCCACATAAGCACACTAATCCTATTTCTTTTGACTGATGTCTGGAATGATGACTCACTGTTTCAACAACCACTGTCCTCACATAAAAACAAATGTAAGGGAGGTTTTATCCCTGCAAATTGAATAGAAACATTGATATAGGAGATATAAGGACTAGAGCAAGCTGAGAATTGCATGATTGAACATGCAAGATGATTAGTATGAATCTAAGGCCCTGTCCACACGAAGTCAAGCTCAGGCCTAAACGCAAAAATACTTTATCAATCCAGTGTATCGTCCATACGAGGCCGGCGTTTTGGGGGGGTGTAAACGAACATTTTTGAAACTAGGTCCCAGAGTGGAAAGATTTCAAAACTCCGTATATGCCGCTCCGTGGTTACTGCCTCTCCGCAATGTATCTGAGACGCTTGCGTCATCGCCCCGCCTCTTGTTAAAGCACGCATGCGCCGCACTCAGAAAATAATGACAACAACAATGTAGCTTGTTGGTTTTGTAATCCAGTGTGACCCGAAGCAACAGTTCAACCTCATCGTCCGTCCATACTAATGTAGTACCAGCTCGCCCACTCGCCATGTTGTCTGTTTACAAAATTCCGCGCATGCCCACGGAAGTTTGGGCTTGATCCCGTCATTGCGTCACAGCGCCACCAACAGGTCTGGCATAGTTTCACAGCGTTTTCAGGCGTATTGACTACATTCATATGGACGCACACATTTACTGAGCTAACTCCGTGTTTACAGAAAAAGTTTCTGAAATTATAAGCGTTTTGTCTTCGTGTGGATATAGCCTAAATGAAAGGAGATTTGTTGTATATGCGTATATATTATAAGCTTCAAACTAGCTGGCTCTAAAGTAACACTTTCTGTTGAAAACTGACAGTAAAGCTCAGCACCTTTACAGTCAGTTTGATTCATGTGTTTTTATGTGTCACTATTCAAATAAAATGTCATTCAAAATAGTTTGAAAAATAACAAGATTTAAACAAGTAAATAATAATACAAGTAAAAAAGATATACAGTAAATGTAAATAAAATAGTTTTTTAACTTGATCTTATTACATGCCTATGCATCAAAATGCTCTTCCTATTAAGTCCCGTTTTCAGATGGAAAGTTAATCCCTCACATACTATTTCAATTAAACAGCTCTTGAGACTATGTTTTGAAATCCCTAACCCAGTTACCTTATCTTGCGTTGCTCTTAAACTGATTAACAAAACAATATGTTGGATGTTGCTGAGAAACCCTAAAGATTTTATACAATAAAGTCAAGAATCCAAACAACAGACTGGAGTTGCAAGCCATAATAATAACATTCCATTTATAATGCATTTTTCGCTTCACAGCAAATCCCAAAGTAATAGTCTAAAAAGACAATAAACAAGATACAAGCCATGTGTTCTGGAGGTTATAGAATCTGAATGTTTCTGATGTTACATTCTTGTGTAATTGCTCACCTTTGTTACTGCAGTCCAGCATCGGCCTGGGGAACAGATACGTATGGCACATGGACGTAGCATCCATTTTGGGCCGGCTTGTAGGTTTCAGCCTCCCCCCCCCGCCTCCCTGTCCGCCCTGTCCACCTCCGCCCGGTTTACTATCCGCGCACAGCAAATCCACACCCACGTCCTTCAGCTTCTGCCCCTTCAGCGACAGCGGTTCCGCACACTTGGCGTAATTTCCCAGGTAACGGTTGCTGGGCACCTGTATGGTCCTGATGAGGCTGTCCAGGGAGCATTGACAGTGCCACGGGTTGTCGTAGATACGGAGGTAGGTGAGGCGGCTCAGTGGGAGCAGGACTTCCTCTGAGGCTGTTGTGAGGCTGTTGTGTTGCAGCAGCAGTGTGGTGAGTCTGGACAGGCCGCTGAAGGCTCGCTCCTCTACCATCGAGATGACGTTCTGCTGCAGGTCTAGACTCTTGAGCTGCGTGAACTGGGAGAACATGTTGTCCCGCAGAATCTGAGGAGAGAAGTGTTAACGTTAATCAACAATTGTTTGGATAGTTGATTGTTTTGATTCATTGATTTGCTGTTTGGATCCTGAAAGGTCATGGATATGGGATTTCATACATTTGACCAAAACAAAGTTGAAGTGATGACCCTGTAGCCCATCCTCATAGAGATGCCATGTTACACATTGGATTGTTTGATTAAAAATACTTTGTGAAGACATTTTCATTTAGTTTTGCTGTCATTATAGAATTATCTGAGTCATAAAACCATGTCTATGTAAGGTTAGACAAACTATCAATTATTTGAACAGTATTTCAATATGTTAGGGGTTGTTATAACCCTAATTGAAATGTTAGATTAATGATTTTCTGCAAACAATAACTTGTAGTGAAATGACAAGCAACCACAAATTTTCCCTTAATATTTAGGTTTTAAACCGTCAGAAACTTATCCTATTCAATATTTCAGTTCTTGCCCTGAGAGAGCTTAGCTTCCATGATCTGCCGTGTCCTCCTAGCTTTACATCTTAGCTTTTTAGATTCATAAAAAAGTTCTATGGTCTTAAGTGTTGTGCAGACGCAAAGGATTGTCAGTGTCTTTTAGCACCTGTACTCTTTGTTCAGGATTTTTCAAACGTTTACAGAGACGTACAGAACAAATCATACACGGTCTTTGATGTGAGCTTCATGCAAATGGTGCACAGATGTTTATGGATCAACAAAACAAACATCCAAGCACAAAATAATGCATAAAAAAGTGCAATGAAACCACTTATATACAAATTTGGATTTGTAGAATGTTGAACAAATGCAGCATGTGCTTTATTATACTGCTATTATTTTTTGTTTTGATATTTGTGTTTGACATAAAAAATGTGATAGCCCAAATATTGTTTCCATGTGTGGTGGATTGGGAAGTCTGGGTTTCCTTGCTTAGAGTGCTGTCTTCACAACTCGGCAACAGATAAAGAAATGGGTGGATGAATGAGATGGGACCAGTATATGGAAAACATCTTTACTCACTCAGATGACATAATGCCATCCACACACTGATATTAAAGTTTGCATATTCAAATGTCCCCCATTTGAATTGGATATTTCCGTTTTGTGCACACACCTGAATTTTGTTGCGGGCCAGCAGGAGGTGGTGTATGTCTGTGGGCCAGTCCTGCATGACTGTGGTGAGCTGTCGGTCCTGACAGTCCAGGTACTTCTCTTCGGCCTCCTCGTATTCTTTACACTGGGAATGCTGAGTCTGCCGTCTATTGATGGCTGCTCTGCCTCGGCCTCGGACCCCGCCCCCAGCCTCTCCTTCACCTGACCGTGAGCGTCTGCGGAGCTCAGCCGGCCGCAGCACGAGAAGCAGCATGAGGGCCGAAAACACACGCATGGCGCTGTAGAGGCTTCTGTAATTTAAACAGCAATTGAGAGTGTTAACGATACCATACATACAAATACACATTGGTACTTGATCTTATGTCATGGTAAACTTTAAGAACAACAACATTAACTTGAAGGAGACATTTAGTATTCAATTCTATCATGCGCATATCTTTTCCTTCCCAATATTCTGTAACAGGTCCATTGACTTCCTGTTTTTTGTACTCAACTTACCTCAGGTCCCCGAGTCAACCTCCGCTGTCGGACTATGAGTGCTGCAGGCCAGTCACAGCTGGAAGACAGAAGAAGACGTGTGATTACACTGGTTCTGCATATGCTTTAAGAACAGGCCGGAGAAAGAGGAAACAGGGAAAATGTGTGAGTGGAAGAAAGAGACATTTGGTTGGTGTGAACAAACTTTTACAACACATTTTAAAGTGGACCGATTCAAATGCGGTTTCCCATGTGTTCTAACTCCAACCATTTACTATCTTAAGTAAACAATGATTATAACATATTCTGACGCTTAATAACAATTTCGCAGTAAAAACACCTAATTTTAAAAGACAAATACTGTATTTGGAAGAATCTATAGAGTATATTAAGCAAGCCATGAGTTAAACTGTGTGTTAAGTAAAACAGCATGTGTAATAGTTATATGCTGGCAGGTTCAAACAGTAATTTTTTACTCATAAAACAATCATTGAATATAATCAAATTTTCTGTAATAGGATATCCTGCAGTGTAGAAGTGCAGTTGTGTTGGGTTTTGTTATGCTTTGCCCCACTTGCAAAAACATGAATGAGTTACAGCAGTGCTTTATACATAAGCTTTCACTACAGTGAAAATCCCACATCCACCAACTATTTTAATTTAACTTGATTACACACAAGCCAAAATCTTTCTTAAAAATAATGCACTTTCTAATTTGATTTAAAGCTGTTATAAATCATTCTAGTTTAAGAATGATTTGGTCACTGTTTATAGCATTTAGTAAAAATATGTCATGGTTGAGCACACCAAACTAGACAATGAGAATGAATCTGGCATCTGCTCCCTCTGTCTGTCTGGGTTTTATAACAAAATAAATGACTCATGGGTCTCTAATGTGAGAGAAGGCAGACAAGGTTAGGTTTTGCCAAGGAACACCACACGTGCACACACAGGCCTGTTTATAGAGCGTATGGGGATATATTACTTACTCTAGATAGTTGATGAAACTCTTACTCACAACTGGCCAAACCTTATCTGACTGACTTTAAACCCTGTAGTCGGTGAGGTGTTGAAAACTGGGCGGCGCAGCATCCAGTTTTCTTGTCCATTGTTCATGTCTTTTTATGATGATGGCTTTCAACAGTTTAACCCTTTGATGTTCACTCTTTGAAGAAAGAAATGTATTTCTTTGGAATTCTAGTTGCTCTAATTTTAGGCCTTGACCAAATAGTTGGGATGCAGTTTGATGGTAAAAGTGTTTAAAACCAAGTTAGATGCCTCAAAGAGGTACAGTATATTTCAGTTCCACAAAAAGTGATCTAGGTGGTTGTAGGTGGTTGATGAAATTATTAAATGGTTAAGAAAATTGATAAATAATAAATAAATGGATTAAATAAAATATATTTAAAAATAAACTTATTGATGAAGTTATTCAGCTTGGGTGCAGCCAAACTATAGCCCCACCTACATCATTTTCCAGCGGGAAGTTTGGTCAGGCTCTGTTCCGTTGAGGTGAAGATCTTTCTGAACCAATCACATTGTTAGGGTGGGGTTTATGTGGTGCTGGACAGATGAGCAACAGTAACGTACGCAGTGATGTACAATTTTCTCACAAGACACCTTCACCTGACTGCGATTCAAGCTGGAATACATTCCAGATTCCAGAATACAAAGCACAAAGTTGGTTTAATCATAGTAAATCATATCATAATCATAAGTAAATTACACTGAAATGAGGAATGTGGGAATGAACGTGTGTTTATTACATTGCAGAATCTTGAGAAAGACGTAGTCAGTCCAGAAGTCATAACCACTGTCCAGTCTCAATTTCACATACACCAAATGAACCCATATCATGACTTTAAATGATTTTCTTGATCTAGTTTAGTTATGAGTCCATCTGCATCAATACTGAATGTCCCCACAGTGTGATAAATACCAGGCCACACACACTGGCCTCGTCCAGCTCTACCAAACCGCAACCTCCCAGTGTCTCCCACAGTGGAACAAGCCTGTCAATGCAGATGTTGCCGTTCCATTGTGCATATATAACACTGAGGGCATGTTAGCCGTGCAAACAGACAGAAACAGCTGGGAATGTATCAGCCTGAGGACGTACAAACTTTCCAGTCTATTGAGAGTCCAACTGTACAACTATCAATCGCATCCAATATAGAAGGGATTTACACCATTGCCTCTGTTCCATCCAAAACAAACAATCAGAGAAATACTTATATATTTTTTTGTTTTAAGGTAAAGTGGAAACCCTATATATATATATATATTTTTTTTTTTTTAACTAAATATTTTCTTGTAAAAAAAGACATACCAACATAGATTGGTTTGATTGTGGAACAGTTAAACATGGAATCAGACAGAAGGGGAAAAACAGTTAAAGTAAGTCTGCCTGTGTTCTTTCTTTGGGGTTAAACAATTTGGTTGATTTACAAAGTATAGTCCCACAGCAATCTAATGGTACCATATATAGTTAACTTTACGGCCTAAAACACTCTCTGCTTGTTAAATGAAGCTAATTTACTTAAACGTACAAGGCTGGGTGCCTGACAACGAGATGGAAAAAACAGTGAAACCTCAACACAATGATTTAATACAACTGGAAATGCTTCTGCAAATCCACAACAAATTCTCGTGGATTAAACTGGTTTGAAATCAGGACAAAACATGCAAATGCTTCTGTGTTGGCGTAATACTCACTAAATAAACATAATCAAAAGTATAGCTCGGGTACCCAACTTTTTTCTAAAAAAGCTGATCAAAAGATGTGGCAGAGGCCAAAAATACATCACAGCCAGAACCAAACTGTTTTGAGAGCAAGGAACTGTAGTTAGATGAATTTTATGACATGCCTTTGTGCTTTGAAATGTGGGTACCCCGGCTTAATTCAAATCTAGTTTCCCTGTCTCAAGTTTTCTTTTAACATCTTCAATAAACCTTTAGCTGCTCAACATCCTTATTTTAAATAGTTAAGACCACAGACTGTGGCTTAGATCCAGGCCACATTGCAGCTGCAAAGACGGAAAAGTCCTTTTAAGAAAACTATCCTTGGTTCCGCCTTCGTCTCCTGTCCAGCTGTGACCATAGCAAACCCACTCAGGCCAAAGCGTTCCCTGTGGTGCCCGCCAGCTCCAACATCCTCATATTAGCAACAGTTCAGGCCTATGTGTAACGAGCACAGTATCACCACCCATTCTTCTCCAGTTCATGAAAGTCAAATAAAAAATATTTTCCAATGTAAACATTCCCATGAATGCCCTCCGACTGTTTTTCCAGATCTATTAGACAGCTCATGACATGGGCCCAAACCCGTTTTATTTTGAGCTGGTGACAATTCAAGGGAAATGTTTTGAGGATTCTAGGAAAATGTCTTGTTGCATTAAAACAAGCTCTTTTTGTTCATGTTAATGGATGTGTATGTAGATGAGGCACATGGTCATCCATTCTGAAAAACTCGTCCAAACTTGAATATTTGCAACAATATCTTGCAATGGTATAACACACTTTTTTCAGAATCTTTTTTTTTTTTTTCATTTTATGATAATATGCATAATATAAAATAACAGAACAATTGAGTTTACTGTGCCCAAATTAAATATGTCAGGTCTAATAGTCAAGGTATTCAATTAGCTGAGTGGCCAAACTAAACATTAGGTTGAGCTCTGAATCACAAATAATTTTTTTGTCTGAAAATATTACGTGGAAAGAATTAGCAGTCATATTATTGTATATAACAGTCCAAACAGTTATGGAATAATTTTCAACAAGAACATGAGGAGGAGACATAGTTCCCATAAGTTATGGGAACTATAACTCTCTGGGCTATTTCACTATTTACTTTGACTTGGTTTTGAAGTAGGGCAGTAAATTTAAGTTATAGATGTGCCCGTGGAGAATGTTCAGTAGCAAAGCTCACACAAAATCATTTATGTAACTTAGGGGTAAAGTATAATTCAAGTAGACATTTTGGCATGACATCAGCGATGCCACTTGCCAAGGAAGGGGGATGTTGAATTGGTCTGTACAAATGCCAGAGGTCAGAGCAAAAAGGGGTCATAAATCTACACGGCATTAACCATAGCATGCAATGTGTTGAGCTTGTTCTTTCTTTTTGAGATCATTTGGTACCGGCAGACTAAAAAACTCAATGGCTCTCATCAAACCAAAGAAAGAATAGCGTGAAACAAAGATCCATTGAGTTACAGTACAGGTACAGTATAAGCTCAAGGAAAGTCAGCTCAGAATAATCGTAAATATTATTATTTAAGGTGTTGCTGCTACTGTGACGCCACAATAACATTCTGACCAAGTGGAGGAAAGGCTTGAGCACACATTAATAACGGGAGCCATCTCAACTTCCACTTGAAGTTCTGTACATCAAACAATGAGCCAATTCACATGACTTCTGAATGCCGTTTTTACAAAACCAGGCTGTGTATGTGGATGGTCAGAGCTTTAGCTTTATGTCCCTCGTTTCCATTCCAGACATGTACAGCAGATTGATGATTTAGATATTTCAACTTCACATTTGCCATTAACAAATACAACAACTCTGGCTGTAGCCACAGTTAAACCACATGACACATGACTGGATAGTTACTGCGCTTAGGGTGAGCTCAATCACACAGTTAAGGTGGCTGCAGGGCATCGGCTGTGGGGAGGTGTTCCGGGGCGGGAGGAGGCTCCGGGCTGGCCTGGGAATGCCTCCGGATTCCCACAGAGGAACTGGAGTAAGTGTCCGTGTGGATAGTATGAAGGCCTGCATTCCTCTACTTGGACTGC